ACTCTCAAAATGGCGAAAAATGTGGAAAATGGCGAAAAATGTGGAAAATTTTCGAAATTTGAAAAAACACGAATCCAAGGAATTAAATTCCAAGTAAAGGGCTTAAAATCAAAAATTTTCGGATCTTAGCATTTCAAATTCTCGAGATTCACCCTCAAAATGGGGAAAAATGTCGAAAATTTTCGAAATTTGAAAAAAAACGAATCCAAGGAATTAAATTCCAGGCAAAGGGCTTAAAATCAAAAATTTTGGGATCTTAGCACTTTAAACTCTCGAGGTTCACTCTCAAAATGCCGAAAAATGTCGAAAATTTTCGAAGTTTGAAAAAACACGAATCCAAGGAATTAAATTCCAGGCAAAGGGCTTAAAATCAAAAATTTTGGGATCTTAGCACTTCAGACTCACGGGATTCACTCTCAAAATGGCGAAAAGTGTGGAAAATTTTCGAAATTTGAAAAAACGCGAATCCAAGGAATTAAATTCGAGGCAAAGGGCTTAAAATCAAAAATTTTGGGATCTTAGCACTTCAGACGCACGGGATTCGCTCCCAAAACGACGAAAAACGTGGAAAATTATCGAAATTGGAAAAACGCGAAGCCAAGAGGTTGAATCTCAGGGAAAGGCCCTAAAATCAAAAATTTTGGGACTTTAGCACTTCAAACGCACAGAATTCAACCCCAAAACGGCGCCAAAATGTGGAAAATTTTCGAAATTTGAAAAATGCAAATCCAAGAAACTGAATCGCAAGGAAAGGGCTGAAATTCAAAAACTTTGGGACTTTAGCGCTTCAAACGCACAAAATTCAATCCCAGAACGACCATAAAACGCGGAGAATTTTCGAAATTTGAAGAACGCAAATCCAAGAAGTTGAATTTCAGCGGAACGGCTTAAAGTCAAAAAGTTTCGGGATCTTAGCCCTTGACTTCAAACGCACGAGGCCCAATCCTCAAACGATGGCAAAACGTGGAAAATTTTCGAAATTTGAGAACGCATATCGCTTACATCTTTGCCGTGCTTAGTTTCTTATTTTGGGGAGGTGGGGCATCCTAGTGGGAGGGATGTTATCGGACGCTCCAAGCTAGTAAACCTATCATAAGTTTCTTGCATGTGGTGTTACTATGTCTATGACACAGGACAAAATAATTGTAATACTAGACATACTGGGCACCCGTGAACTTATCCCATCAACCAAATCTGTCGACATCAAGTTTGTTCTTGATTTCATCTTTAAAGGCTATCGGCGGTGCAAATGCAATTCCATTTTGGGGTATCGCTGAGAGTCTTCTCCTCTTACTAGAAAAGCCCATGCACTAAACTCAAAGTGTTCTGGTGATGGTGTGTTCTTGGTTCATGATCATGATGTCTCGAAGAAATCCATTATGTCATGTCATGTGTCCCATGTGTGCTCATCTACCAAGTCACGGGCGGGACTCGACCCCAGAGGACGATCTCGAAAGAGTCCAAAGAGGCTAATTTCAACGTACTACGCTGGAATTAAGCATAATTTCGACTGTGGACCAAGATCGAAAAGATACAGTAAAGCAAGATCGCAGCAAAGAATGAACGAGCACACTATACGCCGAGCAGCCGAAACTACTAAGCAGAAACCAAGGACAGATGCCACGAACAGATGAAAATCTACGACCGGTGGACTCAACGTTTCCATCTAGGACTCTACACCCCAAAATTTGTTCGCACCCCTTCCTGTTGTTGTTTTTGTGATTCATTTCGTGTGCATCATCATGTAAGTCCAGATTTTGATTATAGTGTGCCATCATGTTATTTCCTTGATTCGTATTCTTTCAGTTTCATGAACATCTGCTCCTTCCTGTTGCCGCTTCCTCTTGTCCACCGCCTGTATGTCTGCACCAGCGCCAACGTCCGTCGCCGGAGTCCATCGCCGAGAAGGTGAAAGCGGGATGAAAAGTGACCGACAGTTATTCTCTCTGTGCTTCTACCAGTCTGTCAGTGCAAGTGTTTGTCATGAGAAAACAAATAGAAGAGAACCGATCCCGAGAGCGCCAAAGACACCGAATGTGTGTAAACCGACCGGTAAAAACAAACGACACTCAACTCACTCAAACGACTCCCGACTACATCAGAGGGGAATCAGAACGAGACCCGCCTGGTGGATTCATCGTAGCTCCACGAATGGAGGCACGGTCTTCCAGTCCCAATTGAGCGGCGTGGCCTGGTAGTGAAGAAATGGCCTTGGTGTTCGGTGGACTTTTTTATTCTATACAAATCATCATTGTCTTGGTCTTCATCCTCTTGTTATTAAAAACTTCATTTCATTAACAACCATTCTCATGCTAGAAGGTAGACGGTCATTCATTTTACATGTAATTCGTTTTCTGACAATTTACTCGCAAGCCAGTTTGGAGTTATGGCTATTAACAGTTCGAGCGATACGTTCGAGCTTGTTAGCTCCTGCTCAAGTAAGCGAAAGACAATCGAGCCAAAGTCGAGCCTCAGCTGAAGATAGATGCACGCATATTTTGAGAACAGTCGACGGTTTCTCAGGGAATTTTTTTGAGAATCATTGCTTTTAGTATCTTCCTTGGTTTCATACATAGTTGTAATATCTATTACTATCTATTAATTCATTGGGTACTTAATGTTAATGAGCATTCTTATGTATGACGCGATTGCAATGGTTAGTGTTTTCTAAAAAGGGATTCTGTCCTGTACACAGTTACTAATGATTTCTACTCCCGAAATGTGCACCAATTCGAGATGCTGGCTTGAAGTTCGTGAACGGAGCAGGCACTGGTCGTGGCAACGTACCTCCTGCGACGAGCTGAGCCCGTGGGCCTGCAACCAGGCCGGTCACCGTTGCCGTCCCCGAGGTTGCTGCGGCAAGCTTCATTCTTGTGCTGTAAGTCCTGTTGTTTGAGACCGAAGTGATGCCTGGCCCGGTGCTAGTGGTATTCGGCATCTTATAGCTTGACTTTATCTGTGCAGGTGATAAGAGGCTCTCGCTCTCTTCGGCAACCGGAGAGGGCGTGATTCCCACTCTGCTGGCAACAAGTTGCGGGGGGGCTTGCTGCTGATGTGACACAATGCCGGACACGACGCCCACACGCGCTTGGCCGGCCGCGCCGCGGGTGGAGGGTGTAAGCGCGCGGACCAGAGCTGGACTAAGGGTGGTTCGCGCTCCGCCGAGTAAGGTGCTGGAGGAGCCACTCAAGGAGGCTTGATCGTTCAGCGGCGACACAGCCGTCTGTACATGTGCGGACACATTCGAAGCTCCTCCTGCTCCTGTCGTGCTAGTTGCATGCCAGCGTGCTGATGAACTAGCTGTGGATGATGTCATCGACTGGGCTGCCTTCTGGGATGGCGTCAAGTGTCGATTTGTAAGAAGATTCGCTGACAGCTGCTCGATGGGGGAAACAGCCTGCTGCCGCTGCGTTGATGAAGCAGCTAGCGCGGCTCCACCGCGTGCCGACGCTGTCGCACTCGGCTGTGTCATGAGACCATTACTGGTTGATGTGCCGGTAGCTGTTTGTGGAGGGACAACCCGATTAGCAGGCATTGCACCAGCTGCTGTCGCACCCGTCCCAAGCGTCCGCTTCGGAGCTCCGAAGGCAAACATATGAACTGGCGGTGCCGGTGCTGCATTTCCGAGGCTCATACGAGTCAAGGGTGGCACTGAGACAGAGGCTGTGCTGCACACAGGAAGTCGCGAATAGGTCGTCGAAGTTGGCCCCGTGAAGCCTGAGCGTGTTGTTATCGTTCCCCCAGCGCCTGTTCGACGAGACACTGACTGGCCGGTGACTGCAGCAGCTGGGGTCGGCGAAATGGGAAGAATCGCGGTTGCCCCTCTGGTCACACTTGCGGCGCGTGTGCGTCCGGTGGGCGTCGATCCCGAATTTTTCGTGCCTGATGTCGCAGCCTGTGACTCCGCGGTTGTCGGGGCCCCATCAGCAGAACCACTTATATTTGTTACATGCTCCGACTGTTGGGTGCTGCCGGCATCTCCGGTAGCTCCCGACGAAGTGGCCTCGGCGGCTGTTCTGCTCACGGGGATGCTAACCTTGTTACTTAGGCTGAAGAAAGCTGGAGCCCGCACCGGAACCGTCTGCAATCCCGCGTTCATTGCGCGCCGCGGCTGGACCGACGCGCCCCGTCTAAAAGCCATAAAAGGCGGCGGCGCCATGACGCTCTGAACGCCGCCGCGCGGTCGCGTAGACCGTGAGCGCTGGAGTGCTGCAGCAACCGGTCCGTTTCCGCCGAGCCCGAGGTCCTCGATCTGTTGAATATGAAATGAACAAATCGAAATGGAAGTTGTTGTAGAAGACACGTCGATCATGATCTCTCACAGTTTGAACATGTTTAGCTAGTCATCTAACTCCACCTCTCGATCTACTCGCCCGTGATGGTATACAACAAGTATCTGTGGTGCCATGCATCAAGAAACAATCTTAATGATGACGCCTACTTTCATCTTTTTGACATTGACTACATTACCGGAGTGAGTGCTGGCTGTGGATTTTCTATCCCGGTCCGAGGTCTGATCATTGGAGTCCAGAAGCCTGGCTGCTCATGGAGCATGCGTCGAGTTCCAGGATGAACGGAAAATGAAGCTTGGGCATTCTGTGAATCATTTTTTTAGCATAGTTTTTGATTTTCTCGTCTTCCCGAACTTCCCACATCTAGATCTTCATCTATAAAATTTCGTTTAAATTGTACTTACTCTAATGTCGAGGAAGTACAGGTAGTGCTACGAGGACGTTAGAAAAAAGTGACGTGCTTTTCAGGGTTTTCACTCTGTATCTAACTAAAGAAACCCGGAATAACAAACATCAAAGGAGCAGCTACTTAATTACGATTTAGGAGTACCGCTGTTCGGTGATTTGGTAGAGGCGTGAAGGATCCCATTACGCGAGTAGAGGAAATACTGGCACGGCCTCGCGGAATCTTCTTGCTGGATGGTGATGCTTGGTCACCGCGCTCCTCGTCTGCACTTGCTCCTGCATTTTTTGGCGGCCGTATTACGAATGGGACGCCGACTGTCCTGCTTGGCCCCCCCCCGCCTGAAACAACCGCAGCGTTTCGCACGATGGTTTGACTGACTCGACCCCTTGAATCCGGAGGAGCGGTGGCGGTCGAAGCGACGGACGCAGAAGGAGCATAATTCATACCATCTGTTTGTGCAACGCTGCGAGGCGACTTCAATGCGTAACCTGGAATCTCAGTGACCGCAGTCGCTGTGGAATTTATGGCCCCTTCCTTAGCAGGTGCCTCACTCGGAGTTGCTTCTCCCGTCACAGCACGGGGCGAGAGTCCACTAGCGGCAACGTCCGCCGCCTTCTGTTCGTCTGCCATGTACAATGGAATTTGCGTGATTTCGGAATAGGTGCGCTCGCATGTAGGAATATTCTCCTCGGGAGCTCCTGCTAACTCCTCAATCGAGAGACTGTCTGCTCTCTTTTCCGCTGCGGATCCCTCCGCCGCATCGTGTTTCGCTGAAGTGGTACTCGACACGGGGGATACTCTTCCGAGACCACGTTGCAAATTTTCTCCGGTCGCGGATGGGTGGATGACTAGCTCCCGACTGTTTTTGCGGCTACCATTAAATACTTGTTGCGCGTGTTGTTGTAGTCCAGCAGTGTTACTAGTTCCCGCCGAGGAAGAAAGCGACTTCATGACGCCTCCGACAGATTTTTGTGTCCCGGCGCGCAACGCTGTAGTGGGGTACGCAGAGCCTACTTTCACCAGTGTACTGGTACTACCGGTGACATACCTGGGTCCGATTTTGTTTCCTTTTGAACCGAGCGCGCCCGCGCCTGCTGGAATTGTCCCGCGAGGGTTGAGGAGCTTCAAACCGCGTGTCGCTGCGTGCAACCGTGGATTCAGCTCCTTGCCGCTGTTGTTTGCTCCATCGAGGATACTGGAGCTAGACGCAGAGAGACTGATCGTCTTCACACCGAACGGCGCTCCACTACTTCCAATCGCCGCATTACCACCACCTCGACTTTTCGCATTTATATTCATTGATCGTGCAGCACTTGCGGTCGGAAGCGCGGAGGCAGACGATACGGAAACTAGAGCTATTAGAGGGTGAGGACGTGCGGCCTAGCTTCACATTTGACGTTCGAGACTGGAGATAGTCCCTTTGTCTTTGTGTCCCCACTGTCTTCTTGACAAATTTGTTGAGCAAATTTTTGCACACGTTGACGAGATGCCTAGTCTTATCTATTACTAGTAAGGAAAAAAGGCGGAGCCCATAATGTTGGCTGACTCAAGATTCCTCCTGAGTTACTACCGACAAAAGCGCCTGCGAAGCCTGAACCGGAGCTCTTTGCGCTAGTAGTTGTCGTTGCGTCTCCAGCTTCTCTGGCACTTCCGGCTGCCACGCCCAAATAGTTGAAGTTCAACGCGGTTCGCGGTCCAGAGCTCGTAGAGGTAGATCCGCTCCCCGAAGAGAGCAGACTTACGGTCGGCTGAAGGAGAGGCAGCGACTCCGATGTTGCGCTTCCGGCAATAGCGGTGTCGGCGTCTACCATCTCAGCACCCTCGAACTCCGCACTTTCCTTCTTCTTGACATTGTTTACCGTCCTCCGGACGCGGCGCTGTTTCCGTGCTAGCATCCGCATCGCTTTCCGCAATGTCGCGGCAAATTCCAGCCATTTTGTTACCTAGACGCACAGAATAACAGGAAAACTTGCCACTCTGTTTCCATCAATCATACTCAGATCGATGAAACTTGTCCTATTTTCAACTATTTCTATTCAGAAATAGGAATGAAATATTTCTTAGTACGTGAGTGTTTTCGCGGAGAATGCACATGCTGCAGCCAGTGTGCATTGAGGTGTCTTCAAATAGTGACTGCAAAACAAGACACAGCGGGTCGTTCGTTCTGCATGAGAGCATATAAATGGGTCTCCAGCGATTCGTGGGAGGAGGTACTATGTAGAGAAGTGTAGATCACACCAGAGAAGTAAAAAAACTGAATGATGCAGAAAGACATGAATTTTCTAAAAATTGAAACCTGAATAATTTTGCTATTTTCGTCTTAGGCTCGGTATAGTGTTACTTTGCAGCTTCGCCTTTGCTCATCGTTTCAAGCATACGGCGTAGCTCCACCCAATTCTCTCGGATTGCCCCAATAGCTTGTCCTGTAGTCGGGCTTACCGCTTGTTCCTCCCCACTTGCTGAGGAAGTGATGGCAGATTCGTCCTCCTCCCCAGCTGCAATATCGACGAATGACAGTGTGAGCCGCTCCGGGCGGCGCGTATCTTCATCTATCCGCGCGTTTTCTCGGTCAATGTTTAGACAAACACAAAAATTAAAGTGGTAAAAGCCTTCTATAAAAACTCTTTTCGGTCGTTAGTGCGCGCAGTAAGGAAATCCTTCTACGTATTTCGTACTCGTGTTTTACATCAATGCTGCAGCCTCGCAAAGATTGCGAGTTATTAGCTTCTTGCCGTGATTCGACATAACTCCAGATTGATAAGGAAGACGCAGTGGCCCCGGCTCGTTTCCGTTCCAGGTGCGAAGTGGCGGTTTGCGTCCCCGTAAAACAGGCGATGATATGCTTCAGACTCGTCGCGAACCTCTTTCTCAGCTAGATCGATCATAACATTTCGGCCCTCGCACTCTATGCCTAGTGGCTCTTTCGCGGCATGACGGGAAGCCATCAGATCCACAATTCCACCCTGATATGAATTCGTTGTTTTGTCTGTCAGGTTACTATTCACAACGTACCTAGTTAGTTACCGACAAAACGGTAGTTCATCAGAATAAGCAAGTGGATAAATGCATGTATAAGCGTAGTTTCCAGGACAAAAACAAACCGGACAGACAAGATTTTCGTAAGAGGAGAAGGTAGCACTGAGCTAGCTCTTAAAGTATTAATCCAGTCTATTCCCTCGTTATTAATGATCGACAAAAATCGAGGTCCGACGTCAGGGTTTTAAGGGCAAGCAAGGAGAATCACAAGGGGCACAAAAACAAGGGTCAGGACTCTCAGGGTTTTAAGGGCAAAGCCAAGAAATCTCAGGGTTGCGTAAAGGGCTAAATCTCAGTCGTGTCAGGGTTTTGCATCGCAAGGTTTGCAAAAATGGGCACAAAAGTCAGAGTCCAGTTCTCAAGGTTTCAAACGCGAAAACAGCTGCCATGGTTTTGCGTGTCGGAGTTTGGCGTCCTAGAGTTTAGCGCCTCAGAGTTGGGCGATGTCAGGGTTTGGCGCCCCAGAGTTCCGCAGGTGAGTGTTTTGGAATGTCAGGGTTTGGCGCCGCAGAGTTGGGCGCCTCAGAGTTCGGAAGGTCAGAGTTTTGCAATGTCAGGGCTTGGCGCCTCAGAGTTTGGCGCCTCAGAGTTCGGAATGTCAGGGTTTTGCAATGTCAGGGCTTGGGAGCGCCCGCGCTCCAACGAGTCACGGGCGGAATCGCGCGGGCCAATGGCAGCGCTGGCCGCCTCCTCGAGCTAAACGCGCCAGGCGCGGAGCCACGCGGGCCAATGGCAGCGCTGGCCGCCTTCTCGAGTTCAACGCCAGCGGCCCGAGTGGCGGCCCGTGCACTCTGTGCCTGACAGCGAGCGCCTGCCGCGCAGCCGTTAACGGGTATAACCGTGGCCGACGGGCGCGTTTGGGCCGGGTAATGTCCAGGCGCTGGAGAGGTTCACCGGGTGCCCTGCGTGGCAATGCCAGGGGTTGCCGCCTAGCAGCTCCCTCTTCTTCTTCTTCCTCTCTTCTCTCGGCCACCCCTGAACACACGGGACACGACTAGTTCATGTTCCCTCCGCCTCTAATTCTAGCACTTGCAGTACCTTGTAAACCTCGAAAAACGAAACGGTCACTTTTTTTCTCTCTAGTTCCAGGTCGCCACCTGCGTCGTTCTGGAAAATCCATGACATGTTAGAGGTAAGCTTTAGTAACTTGTCACTGTGCTGTTTCTCCGCAAGTTCTCGCCTGAATATCTACTATTCTTGAGGGATTGATCGAACGTGGATTGGCCGTGGTCTAGACCTTCACCTTCCACGGCGCTCGGTTTTATAAATATGAGGTCACTAAGCAGGCGGAAAGTCGCAGCACAGTGCCCACAAAGAGCCCGCCATAAACAAAGTGCGAGGGATCAGCCCTCTCTGCTTCCATTTTCGACTTCCACCGGTAATGCCGTACGTCTTTCCGGAAGATTTTGGACCAAACGCGAGAAAAAAGGCCGACTTCTTTTCTTTCACAGCAGCCTCCAAAAGGGGCGCGATTTCTCCAAACCGGTCGTCCTGGTCCAATCCAGGACCACTCACATGGTCGAACTCATACTTCTCGCCCGTACCTGATATTTCTTTCAAGGTCAAGAACTAAAAACTGAAGCACCACTAGACCATTACATACCTGCCGATAGATAACTACGACTACCACAACAAAATATAATATAAATATGAAACAGCTTCGAGCTCTACTACAACCGGCGTCACATCCAATAACTGTGAACATCAGCTGAATTGCACCGATTCCGGGTTTATAGATACGATGCGAGGCTGCCTCTGCGGAGTAGTATATGGCTTTTTCATCGTGGTACAAAAAGTCCGCATCTCCAGCGTCTGTGTTGACCACACACCAGGTCCGACTCCTAGTGGCCATTCTTGCGGAGTTAGTTGATCGCGATGGGCTTCTTTTCTTCGTTCGGAGCAGCAACAGCGCAGTGTCTGACGGTCAACGCTTCTGATAACTGTACGTAGCTGGTTCGGCATTCAGATTCTTGGCACTCGATGTTCGTATCTTTTTGCGGTGCTAGAAACAGAGCCGAAAAGGTTCAGGCATCATCGGCAAGTGCATTTTCGTTGAGGCTCCTTCTCAAATGTATATTCTCAAAGAAATGCAGACTTACCGAGACTGCGAGCCACCAGAATTAAAATGAAAATCATGTATTGAGTATCATCTACGTTTGAGTCGTGGTGAACGAGCAATGCGTTAATAGCTAGACTTGCACCATACGCCTGTAGCCTATTTTTACTTCCGAGCTCCTTTGGGTCACTCGATTTTTTTGCACTGGCTGACATTTGGGGCCACTCTAATTGGAGGAGAGGCCACCGTCATCCATCTTGAACCGCATGATGTCCAAGAAACCGAAAAGATTTCAAATCAACGCCTGATCCTCTCCCTCATCGTCATCCTCAGGACAGATTATTAAAAGATGTTCATGCAAACAGGCTGAGTAGTAAATGGTCCTGCAAACTACGCCTAATCCATAGTACACATAATCCGAAAAAGATGACATCTCCGATACACCGAAAGGCAACTACAGATACCACTCAACCCACACAGAAACAGAATACAGAGATAGAACTTCTGACGAGCAGCTACTTGCAGTTTATGTCTCTACGGTGCCATTGTGTGACACGACATCGTCTACCTCTAGTCTACTAGTCTAGCACCACTGCAAATCATGAACATGGCGACCGACGCAGTATCGCTAACTTTATGGCCATGAGAGCAAAACCTAGCAGAATTTTTCTATCTAAGTTCACGACACAATCACAAGAGCTTTGCGAGCGCCTTTGCTGGTCATTTTCTGTTGCATGACGAGAGGGCAATCCCTTCAGAATCCTTAATCTTAATATCTTTCTCCTACTACCCGCTCTTTGTTAAAATCGATACTCAACCTTTCGTGCAAATCGTTTTGACTTTGAATCTCAGGACACGCATCTTGTCCATCATTCAAAATAGCAACACAGTGACAGTCAGATAGGTTTTGTGTATGACTGTTACAGTTTGTGTTTGTGTTTGTTACTATGAGGTCCATGAGAGATCAATTAGTGTAAATCTATTCTGATACAAGAATCTGAGGAGAAAACATAGGGTACAGCACCCACCTGACTCGCAACCAGACCGAAAGCCGAGCTTGACGCGATGACCGCAACAGCTTTTGACAGGACAAGAAAGTCGGTCCATCCGTCAGACACACCACGAATCTGATCCAGCTTTCTGAAGCGTGGTGAAGAAATGTAGGCCTCTGCTTGATTCATCTCCTGCTCATTTTGATAAATTTTCGAGTCAAGGCCATGAGCTTGTTGAGATGCTCCAGAAATATTTAGCGTCTGTGAGGTCGCCTGCAGCTGAGAAAGATGCGTCCTTGTGCGCGTGTTCCCAACATGAAATATTTTACCACTTTCGATCCAGCTAGTTACTTGTGGCACTTCGGCAAACACCTCCGCATTGTCGCTTGCCAAATACCACCTTGTGCGGGCGCTGTCGAGCTCTAAGACTCTTTCAACTTCGCTCGCACACGACAGCATGCGTACCAGCATGTCCACGCCATGTCTCACGTCGATGTCCTCGTTCACTTGGCCAAAGCCAGCCTTTATGTCCCCCGAGCGATAGTGGATTCCGATGAAGTGCTCTGTGAATACGTTCACGGGTTGATGCCGCAGTAATGGTGGACGAGTACTATCGGGATCCACATTGCTTTTATCCTCTCTTGGTGGATTCAGGTAGTGATTTTCGGCGGCCAAGGCAACAACGCGTGCATTTAATTCGTCCGTGTTCCAAATGCTTTGCATTGCTGCTGGATCAATACTCAGGCGCCCACTAATTTGGGTTTCCTCTAGTTTGCTTACGAACTCAGATGAGCCGAACGAAGTATTTTTGCTTGCGCGTGGCTCGTCGTTGTTGTCCATGTTGCTCGTTCCATGCCCGGCAGTTGTTGTGAGTGTTGTACTAGTGTTCGTATCGAAAGCTACGAGGCGCTTCAGCATGTGCACACTGGGCTGGAACAAATATTCAAAAACGTAATGCGCCAGATACGGCATTCGAACCCAGTCCGTCTGTGCCTGCCTTTCGTAAAACAAGTAGCGGTATATTTGCCCGAAAAAGGACTTTTTGTTGGTGTATATGAGAATTACTTCATCAGCGGAATGCAGAAATTGTCGGAAATACTTTTCCCGAAATTCGTTGTAGTCCCACAGCAGAAATGCGCGCTTACCCGGTAGCCCTAACTGCACTCGAAGCTCGTCGTCGACGACCCAGTCCACGTTGCGCTCTCCGGTGGAAATGAAGAGAAGCTCTGCCTAACGGAAAAACATGGTAAGCAACTGTTCGCACTCTGTCATTAATTCACTTCGACATAGGAATTACTCCGAGGGAGTAGTAGACGGAAGTTAAGTGACTCAAAAATGCTACGGTCGAGCTTTAACAAAGCCGAAAGCTGAGTCGCTCATAATGAAGGGGTCACGCGCTGGCACGAGAAAGTTATCGAGAGCGATTGGATCAGGCATGTCAATCAGAAAGTCACGTCCCGTCACCACTGCCAGCAAGAAAGCCACAAATATGCCATTCCAGCGATCACCGTGACCTCCACATGCGTAAGCACCATGATGGCAACCGAAAACGATGTACTTTTTCTTTTTGAAAAGAGTCCCACCTTCAGGAGGATCTATTGCCTTTTCGCTATGGTCTGCTGGAAGTCGGCTTTCCTGTTCCTTTTCCTTTGCCTCCCACCTCGTCTCTGCCTCACGCCGCATCATCTGCCATGTGTCCTCGAGATCGCGTTTGAAGTGGAATTTCCCTGCCTCGAGGTCCCAGTCGAACACTGGCTTTTCTTCCTGCACAATCATACCCGCATCATTCACTCCTTTCAGGCCAGTCACGGCATCCACGCGCAGAGGCGGCAAGACCACAGAGCTGTCCAGTGCCGCATTGTGGCGAGGTGAAACCCATGCGGCTTCCGTGCTTCCCTGTGGAACGCCACACCACGCATCGAACATCATGCGTCTCTGGGATGTGCAGCTGAAGCCGTCAACGAAAGCATTGTGATACGCTTCCCCGATTGAATCTCTCATCCATCTGGGACTGTCTGTGAGCCCCAGATGAATGCTTACGCTATTGTTTTCTTTGCCACGCAGTACGCTAAAGGGATCTTGATCTACATTCAGTTCTTCAATCGTCTCTTGGTTTAGATCATCATCATGTCCTTTTTTTTGAGCGCGAAGCGTTCTCAAATACTGCAAGACAAATTTGCGGTCGGCGTTTTCGTCCCCGTCATCGTCGCTCGTGGCTTCCCTTTTCGTTTCCTCAGTTTGCGAGCCTGAGCCTCCCAAAGTGAAAGTACTGCCGTCGTCTTCCATCAGCTTCTCGTCAAGCATCTTCTCTCGCAGGTGGGACGCCAGCTGCTTCCACACCACATTGTCCTCTTTTATCGCAGTTTTACGCGCTTGCAGAATCGTCGTTTCTAGTTGTGACGAGCCGCATTCGCTCGACAACTTGATGTAGCAGCCTGGCAAAAGCTTTCCGTTAATCGTGGGTGCTTCACCCTGAACACGCAACCTGTCGACCCCATCTTCTCGTGACACTTGCTCGTGCGCCTCATCTTCCTGCAGAAAGTGTGGTGGCAGGTACCAACGAAAACAGCGTCCAGAAGCCGCAGATTCGCAGATCCAGTCCACGAGTCGCGGTGTCGTCATCCACAGGTCTAGGTCTCCGAAATCCAGATTCAAATCTGGCTCCCACACGATTTCCAAAACTGCTTCTGCAAAATAGTGGTTGAGCCAATACACGAAATGTGGAGATTTCACTACCAATACAATGTTGATTGGGTACTCAAACTTGTTCTTCACGATTTGTTCCAGCTTCAGGGTCGAGAGCGAATTGCGGGTCGAGACAGGGTGGACATACACAATCAGAATATCGGCTGCAATTTGCTCCTGTCGATGCCCTAACAAGGATCCGAAGCGTCCTTGGGCGCGCGCTTGTGTTGTGCAAGTCGCTTGCCGGTTCTCACCCAGAGCCGTCTCAATTTGAAGACGATTATTGCCAAAGTGCTGGCCCCGCAACCACCGCTGCGTCCAAATGTGTGCATGCGGGTTGTCCTCTTCCGTCTGAGGGAGAGCCTCTTGTCGGCCATTGTTTGAGTCTACATTCGGAAAGTCGACACTACTTTTCGGAAAAGTCTCCACATTACCAACGCCAGTGGGATTCGACAAGACGGACCACTTTGGATTCGTCGACAGAATTCGGGCTTTCGCAGTCTCCGTTTCTAACTCGTTCCAGTGTGTTGCTAAGGATGAGTCCGGGTCTATTTCCGAAAGAATCACATCGCTCACAATTGCACGAGCACGCATTTCCTCGGCATAGTCTTCGCTTGTCAGTGAGTTGTCGCCGTTGCTTTCGTCACGACCTGCTTTTCTAGTGTCTTTTTCAAAGTCCATACCGCGTTCCTGATGCCATCGCCATGCTGGCAGCGCGTTGTAGTTACTAGGTAGCCTAGGGGTCATCGACGTTGCAGTGTCGTAGTTCGAAGCTCCTGTTGCTGGCGTCGTCGTACTCGATATTCTGTCCTGTTTTTGCATCTGCTTTTTCTGATCGTTCCTAACCCCGTCATCCGCGTGAAAGTCGCGCTCTTCCTCCTCAACATCTTCCGCATCCTCAGATGAAAGAAGAAGCTCTTGTACAGCGGTGAGTTCTTGTGATTCTACTCCGGGTGCTACTGCTTGCTGATGTAATTCTTGAGGGCTCCTTTGTATTCCATGAGTACCACGACCACTTCCATCAATGTCTTCTGGGCGTGTCTCACGCAAGACTGCCTCGTCGAATCCTACAACCCGATCCAAATTGTGGATGACAAACCCCGCTTTTAAGAAACGCCATTCTAGCTCGTTCACAAGTCTGTGTGCTAAGACAGATACTGCACGCCCATCGGGACTGTCAATGCTAGGAAAACTTCCTTCGGCTTTTGCTCCCGGGCCAACCTCATTTGCGCCAGTATTGAGACTAAGAATACTTGCAATCCGTTTCTTACACCAAGAATACTTGTCCCACTCGGCATCATGTTGTAGTTCTTTCGGCACATGCTCTTGTTCAAAATTCCTCTCGCTACCGTCAGCACCGTCCTCGCATCCCTGGGACAGCCAATGCGCCAATGATTGTAGTTTGCTTAGCGCTACGTTTCCATCGCGCACGAGTCGAGCATTGCCAAATGCGTGAATCCTCGGTAGAAGGTCTGCACGGACGCGCCCCCGAAGTTTCTCCACCTCTTCTGACCAGTTTCGGTCCTTGAAATCACACGGGGCCGCAAGCGTGAAAACTGAAGATGAGTTCGCGTTTGCCCATTGTCCAACAGGTTCCTCCGCGAGGAAGACAAGGTCGTTCAACACCAACTGGAGAAAAAGTGGCCCTAAAAGCAGGGGTACCAGAAGAAAGCGAGGCAAATTCATCCTGAGATAGAACAACATCACGACAACTTTGCGCTTTCATGGTTGGTCTGATGCGTAGTTCCCCGCATTCTCTTCTCTGCAAACCCGACATTGTGCATCGCTCATTTTATGAGACCGCTCCTGTCCTTGAATAATCGGGAGCGACGGCCACTCCTAGAATAGGCTAAGGCTTTCGCTTTCGTCATCATCTTCGCATGGGCATAGCCATGGTGATCTAATTCTAAGCGAGGTGCGCCATCCCCAAATAAAACCATTGCCAGAATTTTTGTTGATTCGAATCAATCATTGACATAACCCTGTCTTTATTTTTCATAGGTGCCTTGGCGTTGGCAAGAGTGGACGTTTGATCTCCAGGACCATTTCTGTTGATTAGCATCGCTATTTTTTCGAGCGGACGCCAGAAATGCAATGAGTCAAGTCGGGTGCCATCTTCTTCTACCTGCTAGAAAGAGAAACAATTATGAATACGGTGTAGTATTGGGAAACATGCGCTCGCCATTAGAGGGTCTTTCGTCGTCCTCATCCTGACTCTCAACTCTCATGACATATTCTTTCTGAAATCACGAAAATCAGCCTGGCTTTGCTATGCTGGAATTACCCACTCTAATATGGTCTGACGCAAGATGCGGATACGCGCAATTTGAATCAGAGTCAAGATGAAGGAAGCCCTTGTTGGAGGAGTGTAAGTGTAAGCCTATGAATATGCTATGCTATGCCATGCTCATGACCATGTGTGTGTCGTCTGCAAATGTGCACCCTGTTGCATGGAGTCGCTCCTCCTTGCACACGTACCAACAAATGGACGAAGACGCTTAAAGCAGCTGTCCGTAAAGTTATACAGAAAGAAAACTACACCTACAACAGCAGTGCTAGGGAAGAGACTTCTACCTCCTATTGTCTTTGCCATACAGCGTCACATAAGATAATGGGAATGCTTTCAGGATCGACCTGAGCCTAGTGTGTGTTCAACATGTAAGCTGTAGATCCTTTTCGTAAGTAACTACAAAAAAACTCAGTATCAAATGTCATTCGATATATGTGCTGCCGATTTTATCTCATTGTTCGACACCCAATAATGTCAGGATACCACTGACTCCGAGGCACTGCCCTCGATAATTTCTACAGGGCAAAGCTACACCTATGAGCGAGAACAGCTCTTAAGAAATATTATTATATACTACCGTATACGTTCGTCTCCATTACATTCTAGTAGGATGATGATCATCTTCTAACTATATTGCTGAGAGAGGCTGCATATCGCTAGAATCAATGGGTTTTTAGGCTGAAATCGACCAATTATGACTATCATGGGACTACGACAAGCTGCCTAATGTACACACTCATTTAGTCTTGTTGCCTCCAAAGTAGTATGTTGTATGTGTAGCTAATCACAAGACTTTGTTGATATCATGTCTTTCTCTTTGAACTACTAACCTTACACCGAGCTCAGCCCAAAACAAGCACAAAAAAAGCAGGTAATTTCTTTCCGTGAGTCAGCAATTTACTCAAAACTACGAAGAAGACGGAAGCGTTTTAGTACCAGTGAATTCAGTTTTCAGACACAACACTGACTCTATTGTTCCCATTCATGCCGTCTGTCTGATCTCATTTTTCTTCAGGATACCGATCGACATGATCATGAACGCACTCAAACGGCCAATAATGGCGTTGATTATGACGTGGTATCATCCAGGTGTCTGTTTTGATCCGAAATAGCTTCGCGGGCAGCGCCGACTTCTGTCAGTATCTCGTTCAGAAGTTCCGGCCCCATTCCCGCACGGTTCATGGCTTCGATCATTAGATGTCACCAGGTTCCGCCAATGGCAACCTTATGCTCAAGATTCAATATCTAACTGCCTTATTTCTATAATATAAATATATATTGGCGCTAAGTCAACTAAGAACTGCACAAAAACGGCCACTATTGTCGCCTCCTCGTCCTGGAAGTGCTTCGCTTAGCGACTTTTGCAACTTGCTCTCTCTTGGTTTTTCTGTCTTTTGGTTTCGTTTTATGTGATTCCCCGCGCCCCTCCAGAGTCCACCGCACCAGCCTGCAAATGTATGCTGGGGGATTCTGGAGGGGCGCGGGGATTTGGAGGGCGCCCGAGGTTCTTGGCTCGCAATTGGGTGAGGGTTTTCCAGAAGGGAGCGCAGTAGGCGGCGAGTGTTCTGCGGATTCGTATCATGCCCGAGAAGATTGAACTTTGTCCGGATTTTTGCAGTCCTTAGTTGAATTTTCTCCATTATAATATGTGCTATGAGCTAGAGCTTTCTATCGGGTTGTCGGTTTGACAGCATCTAGAGGTTGTAGAAGCAGGAGGAGGGAGTCGTCGACGCTCGCGCGGCGAGAGTACTGTCTCTTTATTGGTTGTTTTGTGTTCAATGCTCCTGTACGAATAAATAAGTTATTGTATAAGTAGAAGTGCCGAAATTCAAGAACCAACGATCGCACCATTATTTACAATATTAACAGATTGGAACATATGACCTAAGTCTGTCACACATCCTTATTATTGTTATCGAAAGGTAAAAAAGGTTCAGCTTACACTTCAAAAACAACAACTACAAACAACATGAACATTTAGTGTGTAAAAAAATGAATGCCTTCTATGCGGATCATAACATGAACTCCGCTTCCGTTGGTTCAGCATCGCGCTGGCGGCTCACTATGTCCTGATGTGCGCGGCTTTCCGCGTCCGTCAGATTGTCATCCCATGCATATTAGACCCATTCATCACGACTCATCACTACACAGTTATAACATGTGGTGCATCTTCAGGTGTACGTGTACACAAGTGATCGTATATTTGTTACAACGATAGAATCCACGGCCAGGTATCTATGTATAAGAACCATCCTAAAGTCTCCTATTTGGACTTGATCCAGTCCCGAAGGGATTTCGATTTTGCTAGAAAAAAAGAAAGGACAGCACAAAAATAAGTCTGAAGTTTTGCACTACATCGTGCAAAAGATGAAGTTGCGAGGGGTTGCGGAAGGCGTTTCACTCCCATGCGGACTGCTGCAAGCCCGGAGGTCAACGTGACAGCAGTTGCTAAGTTTGGCCCTCCGGCAGCAACTGCCACCCTGAGAGCGCAGTTTTTCTAGTTCTAAGTATCTAAATATTAAGCTCCTCTCTCTGAAAATCATCAAGCTTGCTAGGTTATTATGGAAAGAACGCATCTCTATACAAAAGGCCTTAACGAGTGTGTCGCTTTTCGCGGTCGCGACGAGCGGGTACCATTTCGGCGCCATCGTCACACTTTTTCAAGTCCATGGTCATTCGGCTATGGGGTTCGTGCCCGTACCAAATCGGACTTGCGGCAGAGTAGACAACTAGCGTGCCTTCGCCGTTTTACTTAGCAGTGATTCCTGCTTGGTCGTGAAATGAGTATGATACTAATGTTTTGCTTTTGCTTGTACTACAAGATCTGAGGTAAACGAGGAGAACAAGCCAACAATTTCAATTGAGTCGACATGATTGCTCATGCTCTTCTCAATCTGTAATGAAGTTAGGCTTATTACCTACTTTGAATTCAAAGTACTAGAATCTTGATCAGTTTTGACAATTCGTCAAAATACTTACGTATCACCCGATAGGAGAGTATAAACGAATGTTGACTGTCGTCTTCGTATCAATATCTCAAGCTCGTGGAGACAGTGAACATTCTTCTAGAAGTAACGTGGCGCCTTAACGTAGCAAGAAGCGCAATTGGTTTTGGTATCCGGGGGAATGTTGGTCCATTTACTCAACTGTACGGCTGGCCCGACCTCTTCTTAGAAAAGCTTTGAACTATTTTTTTGTGACAACATCCTTACCCTTAGCATTAGTAGTACTTTAATGTTTTCGAGTTCGAATTCGAAACTGATCTGCGACCACTCCCGATTCATGATACATACCAAAGATGAATACAATCATTTTCGGCTTTTCTTCTTTGTCCTATAATTATGCTCTCAATAGGTACGTGCTCATTTCATTACATCGAAAACACAGCTCGCCAAACCATCTTTCCACTGAGCGGAAATATTTCAACGGCAAGGACACTGACAGCAAAAACTCGTCTTAATCTTTACCACGGGCGTCAAGGCACGTGAAGAGGGTGTATTCACGAATATCCGCCACACAGTGCTCCTTGTGACCGTCGTAGTTAGCAGGAATTTGTTCGCGTCCCAGATACCCGTCATAAGGCGCAATCGTTCCATCCGCGTTCCGCTCCTCGTGCACTATCTGGTTCTTAGACTGAGAACTACTAAACCTCTTCTGCAGCATGCACACCGCAACGAAATATGGCTGTCCTCGTCACCGCAAAGATGAAAACAAGAACAAGAACCAAGCCGCGTGGCATATACAAAAGTCAACAGAAAAACTTACGCATCAAATCTTTTCACTTTCTAAAAACTGTATGTCCAGACAGTTGTTCCAAAAAACCCGTGATCGTATCTTGTTGAGCACGTTGAACAGGCAGACATCGAAGTAGCTCCCCTCAACTCTCACTCTCGTGGTGGCTTTCTAAAAACTAAAAAACTTGAATAACACTTCTAGGAATTATCTCACTCTCTAACCAGGCGATAATACAGCTTCTCCATTTGTGTGTATAAGGAAAATTTTGATGATGTGATAATCATTGAAGAGGTGCTGTTACTTGTCCGTAATATAGTGTGGGTGGCATGCGACGCACCAATGCATTGCCTTACCGGCACCCCCTGTAGCTCTATTGGTCCGATAGCCCAAATCGGGATATCCATAGGCGTTTCCAGGCGGACGAGTCAGCGCGTTGTTGGCGCCAGAAGGTATGAACGATAGTGATATAATGGCTGTTACTACTTTGATTTTATTCAACAACGTTCAGGTTTGCGTTGCGCTGTTGATCAAAGTGAAGGACCACTCATTCCTGCACCAACACGAAAAATGGAGGCAACTCGCGAAATATTTCTTTTTTACTACTGGAGCTCTCTATGGTTGTCTTGGTTAAAAGGAGATTTTGTCATCGCCATAACCTGGCTATCAACCTCGATCCACACGCGTCCGCTCTCTGCCTGAAGCCTTGGAACCCACATACCACCTTCAGCTGCCTGACCAGAAGGACATTTGTAATCCTCGTAGACTTCGCAGGATTAAAGCCGTTAACTAAGTACATGTCAGCTCCAGCTCAACAAGTATCGTCGTGATCATTCACCAGTGCTTGAGAAGATGTTGCTGTACTGAGTGTACCTTTTATGACCGAGTGGACTGCATCTTTGAAGTAGATGCTAATGTGTGTGTAGAATGTGTAGGAGTAGTTGTGGGAGTTCTTCTGCTGTATGAAACTGAAAGACCAAGACGGGTAGCATAATAGTAGCCGCCATGTCTCGTGTTCCAGCGAATCCAGGGCCTCTCGTTCAGGAACCAGCCTTGAATGTCATAATTGAGAAATTGCGACGGATTCTCGAAGAGACTTGGCCGTGGGTGTCGGATGTAGTATCCATCACGCTGAGCGGCCTCGCGCTCATATTGGTAGAAATCCAGGTGATTGCTACGACTCCAGTTTAGAAGGGCTCCCCCGGATATACCAGCATATTATTACGCGATTAATGATCATGCATCAACTCTGGAAGTACACCGCAAGAACTTGATGTTTTCGACCATACTATTGCTCAGACTAATGGAGCGGTGAGTTGTTTTAGAAGGTTCGTCATCTGAGAACAGATGAGTTTCTGACTAACCGGTCATCTACTTGCATGAAATCTACTGTAGCCGTAAGGGGGAGGCCATGTAGGCAATCGCAGCCGAAAGCAGGAAACAACCTGCAACAACTCCGAATGCGATAGCCGCCATGGAAAAGTTGGTGCCAACGCGCATGGGAGAGCCTTGGGCTTTCTTATCTTGCGCATTTTCAAATTAGATGTCTAACTACAACATGGCTCGCTTCGAAATCCTTCCGAGAAACGAATTGTTCTGCACGACATCGAAATCAATTATCGTAAAGTACTAGCAGTAAATAAGTACATAATCTTTATGATTATGAAGGGTCGTTCTGGAGATCGTACTTATATCCCTCGCAGAGATGTCGACGCCAGGGGTCCGTGGGGCAATAAGGCACAAGAAAGTCTGTCGACATGAATTGATCGACTGAATTCCTTTTCTATTAGTTTCAAAGCATTTGGATTTGGTATTAATGGTAATTTATGTCGTATGCGCTCCTGATCACGGCATCTATCTCATTGTTAAATGTCATAATTACACTGCGTCAGCGGATGCGAACCTGCGTTATGCGGATAAAACACAGGAGTTTGCGCCCCACGCGCAGTCTCTAGCTCTGGAACGAGCGCCTGAGTTTCTCCATCGTGATCTGTCATTTTGCTCGTAAGATCGGAGTTCTCGGTTTTAGTTGTGTCGAATAGCCTCTTGATTTTATCAATAATATGTCATATGATGTTAATGTCTCTCTTCAGCTCTCTCAATCTATCTTGTGCTGGAATATAAAAAACAGGAAAATACGAACAATGATTTATACTTTTTATCTTTCTCTTTACCTAATTTTGTATTCATGGTTATGATCATGACGTCACTCTTCAATGAATTTGTAATGACTTGCTGCTCGTCTCAGTGTCTTTCGTGGAAGATTTTACTCTATTCCGTTGCGATGTTCATTTCGAGAAGGTAATGATGTAACTTCAATGTGCAGTATTCGCTCGTAGATGAAAAATAGCAATACTAAAAGCAGTTAGAGTTAGAAGTACAGCCCAAAAGTTATTGACGCTGATCCTTGTCTTACTTATTGTTCTACAGGTAGCCTTCTAGCAAGTTACTTATTAGATCAATGATGATGATCATGATCTCCAACCAGAAGTAGAGGAGATCGCTTACGTTTACAGGATGAAGACAGAGGATCTCCTGCCAAGAATAGGTCGCCTGCGCTGCACGTCACTACTCCGTTGACCGTCGCTGTACACTGATTACTCAAGGTGCACTACAGGACAGGAACAATCTCTCCGCGTAGCCGATTGCACTTGGCTAGTTTGGGTTACTAGTTGTACCTTGGTTTCTTGTTGTGCCGTCTTGAAGAGAACACACACAACACACAGAAAAATGCGACTTTTCACCCTTGTCTATTCTTGTCGTGTGCCTCCATCTGCATCTAAAAGGATTTCATTCAACAAATTAGTTAGTAGAAGTGTAATTGTACGTCCACCGCTGAAAGTCAATACAAATAAATCATAGGTCTGAGAAGTGTTGTCGTGAGTACTATTCAAGAAATTGAGGCCACCACTATACACGACGACGATTCGAGGACGCCTCGTATCTGCCCAGTCTCTGCGTGCTGAGAGAGAAAGGTATTCAGAGGAGAGCTTGAGCTATCATGTCATCAAGTATCATTCCGTGTGTGGTTTGCTCCAACAGCCGACTTTGTATGGTTCCACTGCTCCGGTCATGTCGTCATCGTTTTTCATTGACCTTAGTTCTCGTTTTGTCACCCAGCCGCGTCCTTCCTGTCGACATTCGCGACTTTCTATGCTATTCAGGTAGAGGATTCTGCCAGTGCCATCGTCGAAGATGCCGCATCACCATCAGTACTTAAGCTAGCATGATCTGCGTATAAATTTCTGCTAATAAACGCACCTCATGAGAAAATATGAACGCGTCATTGATCACATTGTATAAATATCCCCTTTGCCAGTGTGCGATGGATTGCCTTCACGCTTTGTAAGTGCCAGAAAAAGTCGGTGGATGTGCTACCGCTACGACGGTTATTTTTTGAGTTTAGCAGCTGCTCGGTGTTATCCGGCGAGACTTTGTTCTTGCATTGATTATCCCGGTGACGGTGGTGCTCGAGTAGTTCAAGAAGTCGAACTCCGTTGTTGTATCCATGGCGCGTGGAAAGAGTTCGAGTGGTAGTTCTTGTAGAAGGTGCTACTACAACAGCCAGGCAAAACTGTAATTGCCTCTCTAAGCTTGCCTTGCTGGGTCGGCTAGCCTTCTCTTCTCTGGTTGCGAAACCGATCTAGGTAGTTCAGGATTTGCTTGCGTGATCTTCATTCGCGTTTTGTTGGACATCATTCACCGTAGCTGCGTGTGAGGTTCACTAGAGGAAGCTTCCCTCTGGCACTATCCTGGTTTCAACGTCCGGCGAGACGATCCGCGCAGCCATCGCGTTCAGCTTGCCCGAGGGCGGGGGCAGGAGCTTTATCGCGAATGTCGGAAGATCGTCCCAACTCGAGAATGGTCCCTCGACTGCCACAGTAATGCGTATGGGCGCCACATGCTGCTTTTTTCGCGGACCCTGATAGACGAACGGAAGTTGAAAATAGTCGTAGAATTTCGCCATGCGCAACGCATTGTCGGCTATACTACCCCACAACTCGTTCTGGTCGCCCTCACTAGTACCCATTGCTGCGGGATTGCGAAAGGAAAGCGGCGTGTCTTCTTGTGGAATAAAGCGGTTCAAAAAGTTGTTGCGACCTACCCCCAATTGTGAGCGCCATACTCCGGCATTCTTTCCCATTCGGGTTGCCTCCTTGATGGCATGCATAGATGCGCGCTCAGCCGTTAGTCCACGCTTCCAGGACAAATTAGAGAATATTCATTGAAGACAGAGATTTTCCAATACTTAACCTGGATGTGGATGTTCAGTAATATCAATCTTCTATGACTCAACGACCTCTGGTTTTTGGGGATCGCCATCATCTTTATCTAGTTCGTTGTAGCTAATTCGGAACTAACATGATCAGATTGAAGCAGAAGTCATTATCATTTCGCGCCCTAAGAAAGTAGACACCATTCCGCACGAGAACCGCATCATTTTTCATGTTACTTTCTTCTTCTTGTTCCAGCTTGACACGATCCGGGTCTCGCATTGGTGCGCTAAAAATCCCGGCAGCGCGTCTCGCATCTTCCTTGCCTGGGGCCACCGATACGTCGCTAGTCGTTGGAAACATTCGCTTCGCGTTCTCTCCATCAAACGTGTACCCGTACTCGTTCCAGCCCATATAATAGGCTCCCAAAAGCCCTGCCATAGCGTTGCTCGAACGCGGAAACTTCTGGTACAAATTCTTGAGCGCGGCGGGGGTCTTATCCTGATCATAGGCTGGAAAACCCTCAAAATTACTGCCTTCTGACATCTGGTTCACTTTCGGGTTCGCCGGAAACTTTATCTCACCGACATTGGCATCCCCATGCACAGTGATATGCCGCGCCGGTCCACCGAAACGAGGTCGCTCGATTATCACTTCGATCTGCATGTGCGTGGATAGTTTTACTTACCACATACTGGTCCAGCACTAACTTCACGAAGAGCATACTTAGATTAATAATATCATCCGACATGATAAGAAGAAAGTAAGTAGTACCGGGAGGCTCGTGTCACCCATGCGATACAGATGGTGGCCATTTTGCGCCAAGATTCTGCGCGAGTTCCTCGTCTCATGCGCTGGAGGTTTCCCCGTAGACGCGGGATCGATGCATTTTCGCAACGCCGCGCTGAGCTTGCTACCACTTTTCATCGCCTGTTCAATATCGGCTAGACAGCCGGCACTGGCAGCCTTCTCCAATGTATTCAGCGCCATCTTGATGCAAGCACCCTCCCGGGAAACGAAGGCCGCAACTAGGCAGAGCTGACGATCGCAAGGCGAAACAAATGGTACCCAGTCCAGGTATGGCTAGTGCGCACAGTCCTGAAGCGACGAATACCACAGTTTATCCGCCAAGCTTGCGCTGTCCGCCAAGCTTGCTGTAGAAGGAAAATCAGGCCGCTTCATGACACAGTTCGTCTTCAACGAAATTTTTGTGATTCTCAAAGTATGCATTCTTTCATCTATCCTTGTTCCTAGCGCTTCTCATCATGTCTTCCTCATCTCATCTTCAGCTACTCACATTTAAATAAGGTGGAACTGCAAGTATATTCTCATCCTCATGTCGTCAAATAATTCCGCTCAGCTTCTGCCAGGCGGTTAGAAGCTGCTGGTGCTGTTAGTCTGACTAAACTAATAATAAGACGCAAACAACATGAATTTTGGCGAGGGCCCTGAAACTACTGCTGGACCAATGTATGACGGCAGAGGGAAATATACGCATGATAAAAATCCAATGCTCATTTCTTCCACTAGCATTTTGGGAGGCATAGGAGTAGCAGTAGTCGTAGTAGTATTCGGCTTGCTGAACTATCGGCGTAACTTGCTGAACTATCAGCATAACTTGCTGAACTATCAACATAAAGTCGCAGTAGTAGTCGTAGTAGTAGAAGTAGTAGTGGTGTACCAAATCGCGGGGTATAGATGATTAAATTAGTTAGTTTGTTGCATTTCTTCTTCCACTTCTTTTTTTGCCTCTTCCATTATAGAGACGGAAAGAAGAGCATTTAGTGTCACCGTTTTCGATGAGGGGACGATGGGTCGTCATTCTTTTTTTTGTGTTCATTCATTCATGTTCGCGGTTCGGGTTCGGCAATTCAGCTTTTTGTGTTATCATAGATACAAATCACTATTACCGATCATTTCCTGCACCCGACAGAGAGCGAGAGGACTGGCCTCTACAAATTGCAAACGATTCATCAAGTCGGCTTGGACTTGGATTTGGCTTCGCATGCCTGCCAAGAGTCACCGATATTATCCTAGTAATATGAGACGTACAACTTCGCCTTCAGTCTGAAAACACGATCACGACTCATAAAAAAGTCACTTGGTGCAGCGAGTTCATAAATGATGCGAAAGGACTAGACGGCGATAAATCAGTCGACAATACAAACCCTGCAAAAGAAAAATAAAGAATCATAACGCACACCCACAAACAACACATAGAGCGGGGCAGAGTTCACAAACAAGAATAACTAGAAGATTACGAAGTACATGACATCCGAAGCCATGCGTTCCTGTGCGACTAGTCTGAGGGCATTGAAAATCTCGAGCTTCTTCCCTCGATGCATTTTCTGAAGCGTGGTGCTGGATATCATGAAAATACAAAAACTGCCTTTCTGCATCCATGCTCGACCACCACTACTACTTTGTTAAAAAAGTAGAAGATACCTGGGCCAGAACTAGAAGGGACCCGGCACCCAGCACCAGAGAGAAGGGGGGAAAATAAGGAACTCTACATAAGTAGAAGCACCGACAAAAAAGGTAGAAATAAGGGAAAAACAAAAGAGAGAAGCCGACAAAAATAAGAGCCAAAGACAGAGAACCGAAGAAAGGAAAAAAGGCAAGAAGGGCAAGGGGACGCAAATGAGGCGAAGAGTATGCAGCAAAAGGGCGAAGCCTAGCTAAGTAAGACGCAGCCCGAAGACGCGCTACTTGGCAAGCAGCAAAGAGCGCACAACGAAACAAAGCGCACCAGAAGCGCACAGAGAGGGACAATACGAGAAGCCGCAGAGAAGAACACGCGAGAGGGAGCGAAAAGCAACGAGGCAGAAACACACAGACAACAGCCGCGCACCTGAGTGTCTTTGGCGACAGAACCCCAAGAAGCTTTCGAAGCGCACCACGGAGCTACGAATCTCAAGCCGGGGACCACAAAAGCGCCACGCGCCCGGTTCCAAAAAATCTCAAACCGGGGGAAGCGTGGGGATCGCAAAAAGAAGGAGCGCGTCGCGAGGGAGGCTGCTGCCTGATAGTTGCCCACGCGCCTGCCTCTGGCGGGCGCGAGGCGCTGCGGCCAGGGCAGAAGAACTTTGCGACGCGCCGACGGAGAAAGAGAAACGAAAGACGCAGCAGAATGCGCTTAGCCTGACCAGTAGCAGCGTGGTGGAAGTGCTACTCACTGAGACACTACGCGGCCAAGCGCGGGCGCGGCTCCCCACCGGGTCCGGACGCATCTAACACAAGCCGCCTGGGCGCTGGCAGTGGAGTGGGGGGAGCAACCTACAAGAAGGGCCAGGGGCTCGCTGTTTTCCGCGCCCCTTCTGATACCGCGGCCCCAGTTTTTCCCGGGACCACGTTGGCCCCAGGATTTCCAGGGACCCCGCCAGAACTCCAAGGGATCCGGCCAGAAAAATAAGGGCCCGAGATTTTTGAGGCCCCAGTCCGCTTAAAGGGGGAGAAACATGTGGCCCCTTATCATACAGGGGGCCCCGTTTTTCTACAGATACCGAAAATCCTGAGTCTATTCCTTCGATACGCGGGGTCGGATGGAGCAGGTGACCTGTGATCTCTCAAGTCTACGTAGAACGTCTAAGTACACATGTGAGGAGGCCCGGGAGCAGCGGTGTCTACGGGTATTCAAGAATGTAAAATTTAGCGCACCAGTTCAATAATCGCCTACATGAACGTATTGGAGGCTTAGCATGATGAGCCCGTTGTAGTCTTAGTTACACGTACTAATGTGAACCCTACACGATGTCTGAGGACATCCATGCTGGACGACATAACTTGATACCAGAATCAATGTCTTCAGGACAGTAGTTTCGTCATGAGTGCTAGGTGAATCACCAATCTAGTCCAATGAAGCTCGAATAAGATGACATCAATGAGATGTCAAATATAGACGCCTGCGAATTTAAAACCAAGTCGAGAAAGCGGCCAGCAGAAAGCTAGGTAGGTGGCTTGCTGAAGCCGGTGGCGAAGGTCCTCGACGCGAACGCGATAGCCAAATGTGCAGCACTAGAGTAGAGTGGAAGTTGAATCATATTCATACGTGAATGTTAATGGATCCGAGACCGTGAGGACAGTACCAGTAGAGGCGAATTTAGTTAATACGACATATATTCATAAGTAAATATTAAGCATTGATGTATGGTAATGGTCTTGGTTTTCATTTCATGCTGAACTGTGCACAATGGTGCCGACCGTTTCGTTTTTCCTCCATTGGAAATAAATTTGGATAAGCATTTACGTAAATAAAAAGTGTGTGAATGAATAAGTGTTCATAAATATAACTATATTTTGATCGCGCTATCAGCTGCTTAGAAGTTGCCATTATACCCGGTTGCCTACCATGAGCATCACTGCATGTCCATGTCGGATGGTCCACAGACATTATTAATACTCGATAAGTTCAATAAATGCTTGCTGTAGTGCATTCAACTATACCCTGTGACGAGCTTTGCATCACAGCTTGTTCTTCTCTCCCCCTAACTGCACGGGCATCTCTGCCAACACTTATGTCGGGGGGCATCTAACTGCGTCTCATTACAGACATCGTACGACCTGATGCTTCACGCTCATGAGAAGACGAAGTAGAGTAATCAAACAAGCGCGTCTAGGGTATATCAAGACTCTTTTACTAACAGCGAAGAACAAGTAGGTGTACAAGAATAAGAATTAAGAACCCGTCTGCCACAAGACCTTAACGGTGGACGCGAAGCTAGTCTAGTATTTGGCAAACCAATATAATATTGGTGTCGTGTGCTGCCCACGCCGAATCCGAAAAGTTCCCGAAGGAGCTACTAAAGGCAATGCGTGGTTGACTCGCTAGCTGTGTACCCCTGATTTACTAGTCTTCTTATTTCGACTTGGAGGTGAGCGAGTAAAGAGTCGAGGAGAATTCACGATGACCTCCAGGAGCTGCGAGACAATGATAGAGACAAAGTATCGAAGATAAAGCAGCTTTGTGAGGTGTGAGACCCCTCCTGCGCAACAGATCCAACATAAGAAACCAATCCTAGAAGGGCAAAGAACTGCAGCCGGCGAACCACAAAAAATAAACAACAGCGATCAGTATGATCACCATATCAAAATTGCATTAGCACTCTTCAAAATCGTTACGTACAGATCAGATTGAACAAGAACGGCCCTCCCCGCTAGTAATATCCAGTTGCTTCAGAAGATAATACTAATAAATACGCTAAATATTCTTAAATCATTAAATTTCAATTGGGTGGATTTTGCATTACTCGATAAGACCCAGGCCGTATCCGGAGCATGAAACCGATCTCAGAGGTATGAACACACCAGGCAGAGGCCACAGGTCACGAGTTACGCGGCAGCGCGAGAAAAAATGTACTTATGTTGGGCCCCCTCAGGATATTACAGCACCGGTGATCAATCTGGTCTTGCACTTGGAACTGAAAAAAAATTTTCCGAGAAATCAACAGGGTTCACTAAATGAGATTACTTATACTATCTGTTAAGATAAACGCTTTCTAAGAGAGTAACTTATCTATCATCTAAACCAAAAATCATACACACGTTGAAGGTGGCAATAGAAAGGACGCAGAAAGAGCACCAGAAACCAAGATTTTGATACCCCAATGCTGCAACTACGTCATCCTTTGGCTTTGCTCCATTTCAATTTCTTTTTTATGACTTAACTTCTACATCATCGCCAGCTTGTTTTCATCGCCCCTGTGGATATCTATCGCTATCCCCAACGAACCGAGCGAAGACAAGATATCGACTAAAAGGCGGCCAACGCTTTCTTTACAACAAGGTAAATTGTGGGGTAAATGCATGTGGATTGTTCGCTGTGGCCAGTAGAGCTACAGTCAGGCTTGGAGGATATTTATTCGACGAAAGATAAAAACAGTAACCGGCAAGGCCAACTCGAATCTCGTAAAATTCAGAACTCTAGTCCTGGCGATGGTAAGAGGAGACTGGGACCGAACACAGAGCAAGACTGTGACTGCGTCTAACGTGGTATGACAAATGGCCGCCGGGTTCTGGAGGAGCACCAGGTCTATCGCTGTCAGTGTGTTATAATAAGTCGATGAAAATATTGGGATAATCTATTCTTAATAGGTTGGTATATCTACTAGCTCAAGCTCAGTAGGAACGAAATTATCAGTGTAACTGAAAAAAAAACGGCCGTGGGTGCTGATGCTTCCAATATATTTGTCAGTACTTAGTTAATTTCATAACAAGGTTACATTAGTCTTCGCAAGTCGCAACCATATGTGTCGTTATCGTAAATACAGTCGCTGCATTTTGTGATTGCTCCTGCCTGAAGTAGGTAGTGCGCTGTACATATTTATAGTAGGCCTTCAAATAAAAGATACTAAGACTTCCTAGAAGTAGATGTTTAGTCCTTATTCAAAGACGGTAGTGATCCAGGTGGAAGTGGCGCTTGCTGCAGAAGGCGGTCGACCTCCGCCTTGGCACTTGCTGTGGCATTGTTCGAAGGTACTGACATCAAAGGACAAGAAGAGCCCACGCCCGATGTGCAGCCGCTTTGCTCGCGCTTCTGCCGCAGTAACGGATGGCCACCGAGGGATTGCGAACAGAAATCTGCCAGTGTTGCCGGTCCGGCAGGAATTGATCCAGTATTACTGGCCAAGGACCCACTAAGAAAACAGCTAGAACTTGCATTTTCTCCACTTGTGTTGAGACCGCATCCGCTTGTGCTAAGACCGGATAATAATCCAGGGCTAGTTGTTGTTGATAGCATATCTCGCAGAAAAGCATTCGCATCTGATGACATTGACATGATGCCATTCTTGCCGGTGCCAGTCGTGGCAATTGCATTCGATGACAACGTCGCGCCGCAGGTCGCATTCGAATACGCACCACCATTGGCACAGGCACATAGGGTATTCTGCAACATTGGAGAAATATTGAAGCAGCCTCCGTTACCACCTGCTGCATCACATACTCCGGTTATAGAATTTCCTGCGTTACTACCCGAGACCGACATTGCGCGGAAATCTCGAAAGCCAGCACAATTTCCTGCTTGGTTGCTTGTCGCACAGGGCTGCTGTGCCAGTTGTTGGACAACGGCCGACGACGTCGTTTCTTCCGCTTTCGCATTAAGAGTATTCGCAGCCGTCGCCGTATCTGTCGAAGCCGCAGGTCCAGCGGGAAGCGGAATCATGGTGCTTGGTAACTGCGGAGGTAGACTTGGAGGCAATCGGGGATCTACAGTGGGTATGGGTGTCGAAGCTAATAGCTGAACATGAGGTGTCAGATTCTGTTGTTGCGTAGAAAATGTACTATTACACCCAAGAAAACTGTTGCCGTCTTGTAGTTGTTGTATCTGCTGGGGTAATTTTTGCGGGAAGTTATTTGAAGATGTTCCTTGCAGTTGCATGGAAGAGGAAGTGTCCGCACCATAGCTAGTAGTACTATTGTTATTATCAACCGAAGTAGTTGTTGTTGCGTGATGTTCAAGAGAATGCGAGAATGCTTGAGCGAGCAATCTGGCGGTGCTTACATTCGACGGCAGCTGATTCAGAAGCGATGATAGTAAGGGGTTCGTCGGACTACGACCGCCATCATAAGCTACCGGAGAGAGAAGGGAGCCGGTAAGTGATCCACCGACCACAGAGAGTCCGCCACAGCCACTCGTCGCGCCACCAGAGAGAGGTAGATTTTGATTCTGCCCAAATATATGAGGCGGTGACGGTGTCGATCCGAGCGAAGTTGCCATTAAATTAGGCGCCACTCTCGTTGAGCTTGTACCGCCAGCACCGCCCGAGAAAAAGCTCGTTTGCCCCTGGTTCGTGAACGTCATCTGCTGTTGGTTCAGCGCTGCCCTCTCTCCAGACGATGTCCCTAATGACAAACCGACGCTTTCCTGTACCTGGCCGCATGCCATGGGGCCTGAATTGAGGCCGACGCTCACATTGCAAGTGTTGACACAGGTGGAGTCAGCGTTGAGCGATGGGGGTTGCGCCGGCTGCAAGGACACTTGTGAGGGCATCGAGGCGGCACCAGCACATCCCCCAAACGCATTGGCCGGAAGGTGCGTCGACGCGCCTGGCAATTGCTGTAGAAGCGCAGTTTGCGCTTGTTGAACCTGCTCACCAAAGGCAGTATTTGTAGTACTTGTGTTGTCACCGGAAGGTGAGCTACCCTTTGACTTTGTGTTCGTTCGTCCGGTTCCTCCTTCAGAAGGTGGTGGAGGAACGGAAGTGCTCGCATTCAGGCTAGACCCGCACCCATCCGGCGCCGCTTGCTGGAGTTGCTTCTTGAAATGGAGACTGTCTCTGTCGAGTAAAAACTGCTTTTGAGCTGTCGCTTGTAACGACGACCCCACGACGACTTGTTGTTGTGTTGGGGATTCGCTCGCCGCCGTCGTCCCATGGTTCAATGGTAATAATGTCAATGGATTCGAATTCATTGGCCCGAAACTATTTGCTCCGACCGCCAGCGAGCCTGCAGCCGGAACCGGAAGCATTATCATATTCGCAAGTGTGCTGGTGTCAAATTTTTCTACCGCCTGACTGCCTATTCCAGAACCGCAGCCACTTTCCGTTACTGCTGATGATTTCGTTGCAGTTTCCGAATGTTGACCCACGCTCCCAACCGCCTCGCCACCTGAAGGTAAATTTGTTTTCGCGAGAACAGACTGTTGAGAAGCGCACGCGAGTGCTCCAACAGACGTGCTACCAGCTCCCCACCCGAGCGGTGCATGTAACGGACCACCACTTGTGATTTGTTGCGAAGTTGTAGCACTGCTTGCTGGAGGTGGAAAGGCGGAAGATATGCCTGTACCTAGTGGCAATTGCATTTGCTGCATCTGGTGCTGCTGAGCACCAAGGAGAAGCGCAGATATGTTATTCAGAAGATCCGACTGCGTTGCCATCGGTAATTGGGCTCCTGCTGACGAAGTAGGTATGAGATGTTGTAACCCAGGATTCATCGTCAGCGGCGCTAAAGATGATGTCGCTGCGCCTTGTTGAACACGACCTTGTTGGGAATTCATATTCAGTATCGTTGGAGAAGAAGATGATGCATTAATGGCCGGGACAGACAGAGGAACCATGAAGTTTGCTTGCGTGCCCGGGTCACCTTGGAGTGTTGAGGTCAGTCCAATGTTCGAGAAACTCGCTTGGTCAAACGCCTGAGACAGGGCATTATGCTCTTGAGCATTTTGTTCTGCAGCAATGGCACCACCAGCAGCCGCAGAATATCGCGCTGCGTTTCCGCCACTGCCAACTGAGCTGGGCGCAAACGCTCCCGGAGCCAGCTGATTCGGCTCGTCGTAGACTCCTGACAGAAATTGAGATGTACTGGATGAACAACCGCTGTTCATGTTGCCAGCAGCAGCCCTGCTAGAGCTAGTAGCAATATTGATGTAAAGAGCGTCATCCGAGCATCGTGATAGCGGATTGAACTTCGCGCTAGCGCTCTCTTTCTGACCAGGTACCATCCCGGACATAGGTCCTTGGCTGCCAGAAATCGACATGGATGACGAACGATCCTTCACGTGGTTCTCGTTTCCTCCCTGACCTACAGCTACACTGCATGGGCCGGGGTTTGCAAGATGTTGAGAACCCACGTCTAGCCGTGTGTGCGGGAAATGCCTCGTGGTCCCATTTTGGTGATAGGACATTTCATCATCAGCCGTATGCTGCTGCAAGCCTCTTATTGGCTGTGAGCTATACATGGATGCGGCGTTATTAACATTCGGCGAAAAATGCGTGTGCTTTCCTCCTTTGCCGTATTGTGCCCAGCCTGGCAAGTTCTGCCCAGGTGGTGGCGGTGGAGGCACCGGAACTGCGTGTCGAGGTTGCGCCGGAGCTGTTGCTGAGCAGGCGTTGCGCTGAGTCCTGGCATGATGCTGATTATGAAAGCAATGGCTACCCCCTAGGATTTTGTGATTTACCAGCCCAGAGGATCCACCATGTGCGGAAAAAGAACCGGAGCCTCCCTTCTTGTTACCTGACACTCCGTATGCGCTAGACATAGCAGGTCCTGCCCCCCGCTCCGCCTCCGCTGCCCGAAGCGCTGCTGCTTGCTGCTTTCGGCTCCTTTTGCTGCCAACACGCCTAAATGCAGATGGCGGCTGGCCGACAGCAGAGGAGCTGCCACAGTGATCTCTCCCGCCCCCCGCGCCCCCTACAGACGACGAAGAGCTTCCTCGTCCGTTTCCTCCAGCGACTGTCTTCGAAGGCAACGAGTAGAGGGCCACTTGATCCTCCAGGAGAATTGGCTGAGAGAGATCCAGCGGGGACGAACCTGCATGATGTCTAAAAAACGGAGAGCGAGAAACGGAGCTCGATCCATCCCGTCGACCAGTTCCAACATGCTTGTTTGTACGACTATCACCACGGCCTCCTTCTCCAGGGCTGCTGCCTGCTGCGAAGGGACTCCTGCTTGACGTCGACAACACGGATGAATGTTGCCCTTGTCCTTTGCCAGCGCCGCTAGTAGAATATGCATCTTTCGCTTGAAGATGAGGAAGATGCTGGACAGGTAAAAAGCGGTGGCTCCCGAAGGTTCTTCCTGTGGTGTCACTTTGCTGTTCAAACAGCGCGTCGCCACAAGTTAGTCGGACTCCTCCAACCGAGGATTTTGAGCCCTTGAAGCCTCCTCCAGTCGGTCCTGCAGCGCGTGCCCAAGGTCCCGTGCCTCTTGCTCCCCAAGGCGAAGCCGCAAACGAAGAACATGTACTACGTGCACGCCCGCCGAACTGCGACAAAGTGCCAGCAGTCGACAGTAATTGCTGGCCTCCACCGTGCGCAGACGAAGAGAGCGGAGCGCGGATTGCAACTGGTATGATTTGAAGAGATATCAATAGACATCTTGCGAGCAGTCGAAGAAGATGAAGACCACAAAAGTTTCAGCCTATTAGGTATCCAAGCGACTCTACCTTTGACTAGGAGACGATTACGATTTATTCGAGTTTAACTAATCTCGAAGAAAAAGTTGTGTTCCTGATCAGAAGCTCTACCAGTCTCGAACATTGCCGACGCGGTCATGCGGTTGCCCCTTTGCTGAGGAGTACGGTCAGGCGCCTTTTCAAACAGCTGAGCATCTGCAAGAAGGGTTTCGGAGAGCATGCGTTCTTGGATATCGACGATTTCAGGCATAATAGCGCTCCGGTCCAACATCGCAAATAGACTGTTGGTTTCCGCTCCGAAACTCGACACGCTGAACTCTGTATCATTTGTTTGTAGTGAATAAAAATTAAAGTTATAGTTACTTTGGACAGACTTGGAGAATAAGTTAATGATTCGAGAGACCAAGGCACTATGTCATTTTCACACTTTATCATTCGAAGTTTTGCCGAAGTTGTGACGCTGTGAAGTTTGGTAGAGTTGCGCCGCTGTGAAGTTGAGTTGTGCACGTGCCGCTATGGCGCCGAGTTGTGCACGTACCGCTGTGGCGCCGAGTTGTGTCGCTGTGGCACTGAGTTGTGCCGCTCAGGCGCTGAGCTGTCCCGCTGTGCCGAGGAGGAGGAGTTCGCTGCGCCGCTGTGCCGAAGAGTTGCGACAAGAGACCTAGCAGCTTCGCAGACCGCCAGTGTGCTTCTGCCACTGCTACGAATGGAGAAAACGATAGCGGGCACGCTTGGCTTTCGAAAAGGGGAAAAGGCTGGAGCTAGTCCCAGCTGTAAGCAGAGGCGCTTCCCGTTCTTGTTCTTTCGAGTCTCGTAGGTATCTCGTGCAAGTCTAGCCCTAAGGCTCTCTCAGAGAAATCCTGAGCCATAGTGGCACACAATGAGGAGCAAGAAGAACCACACCAGTGACCTTTTGCGTCTCACCCAGTTGTGCAATCTCTAAGAACAATCCGAGGACTTAAGTACCTACTTCTCCACGGTGTTGAAGCAAACAACTGAAAAGAACGCTTCTTTGTGCCATCCATGTAAATGGAATTGAGATAGTCAAAACTTCAAATATTTCAGATAAAAGTTGATCTTCTAGATCTTGATGTTACTATGTATATTAAGATAAGTGGTTTCAGAATTCAGGAAGTGATGTACCTCTTGCGTTGACGTCCGGGAAGCATCTGGCGAGCTCGATCGCAGTAAGATGCATTGTTGCATAAACCCGCTGCAATTTCTGACACAAAATTCGTTGCACGCTCCTTCGCATGAAGGCCCTATCATGGACGGCCATTTCCTGTGTATTGATCTTGCAACCATGAATGCTGCTTCGCGGGGATCCTAGCACTGGCGGCGCATCACTTCCTGCTGAGGGATTTGGCCTTGTGCACTTCTCTGATTGCTGTTCAGTAATTGGTATCGATCTCGGCGAGCCGATTGCAGTAGTCCTAGCAACAATATCAAAGTTGCCTTCTCCTATGCGCTGAGCAAACCCGGACTCCGTGTATAATCTTTTGGCGCTACTACTTGTATCTGCCTCTTCGTCCTCATTCCCCTCCTCCTGCAGCTTCAGCACATGGCCATGACCATGCACCTGCTTTACGCATGTTTTGTCATCGACGACCTTCTCCTCGTCTTCAACAACGCCCTCTGTCTTTTTCGCTGCGTCTTCAGCTGCACCTGCATTTTTACTCTTGGTGTCGCTCGATTGGTCTGCTGAGTCTCGACTTCCATTGGATTCTTCAGAGTTTTGCTCTTCTGCTGCGTCGGCCCTTCGACTTCCTTCTTCAATGCCGCTCTTGTTGTTATCGTTGTTCGTTTTTACCGTGGCTGCGCAAAGCCCCGGTAAGTCGCACTTTTCTGCGTCTTTGCCGTGTCTTGGCATTGGAACTTCGAACATGCTACTGGAGATTGACCTACCACACGAAACAAATGCCGAATGTTGTTCGTGAAAATTCTTCACCGGCAGACCACCATCCTGGATACTCACTCCCCAATGCACCAGAAAAAGATCGGTCACATGACGATGAAACTTTTTCGTGATTTTTCGAAGACCTGAATACAGAGCGACGAGGTCGTGAAAGCTAAAAGTAGACAAACGTATTTGATCCATAATCCAAGAATCTCTTCATCGAGTGCACACAGTCTCTTATCCCAAAAATGTCGATCTTGCATTGAATTTGAAATTGGAACTTTTCCATGAAAGCAAAAGGTGACCAAAACTATGCTTGTACCTGACAGGTTCAAATCCACATACTGCAGTGTGTCCGACAGCTCCGACTGCGCAACGGAAAAAGTTTGAAGACACTGTCTTGCCTTTTCTGCTGGGCTTACCTTTTGAACGAGAAACGAAAAATGAGATTATCATCATGAACATAATCTTCATAATGTATCAGCTTCTACCTACTTCTACAAATTGAAATTGCTGTGACGTAGATATATATTCTCTAAATTGAGTGAGGGTTCAGCGAAGCCGTCGAGGACAAATAACATGGATGAAAAAAAATGCGCTGCACATTCAAGGTCCATGTCGAAAAATCTTGCACAGTATCTATATCTTACCCGTCCAGAATCGAAGAGTCCGATTTCGATGGATCGCATCTGGAATTTCCCTAAGAGCACCTCGATGGCATGGACCATCTTCAAAAGGTTTTCCTCCACACTGTCGATATCCTGTAAAGTGAAAAATGAGGTCGTTGCGTATGCATGAGACCAACCCCGCTCTGCATTTGTACTTGATATCAGCTGTGCATATTCTACATGATGTGATATATATTTTATCATAATGTCTATTGATACTACGTATTTCTATCGAGGTTAAGCAGACTCATAATGATAGGCTCTACTTATACACCAACTACCGCAAATGTTGGCAGAAGGACCTGTTTCATGATGTTGTCCCACTCTGTTCGAAGTAGCAGAAGCGAATTGGCGTCGCCGTGCTGTGCTGCTTCCACCATCGACTTGATGACACGTTTCAACGCTTCGTAGCTGACGTAGCCATGCCCCTCGAGGTCCTTGACCCCGAGATTTTTCAAATGCTTTCCGAACTTCATTTTCGTTTTTATAGTGAAACTTCGGCTGTGTTAATGATTGCACACGAGTTGTATTAAAGCTGCTTGCCACGTGGTTAGATGGAGTGTAGTAAGACTTTGACGTTGACGCTGCTCTTGTTAAAAATCGTCCCTCGCTACGGACTTGAGGACCTGACGACCCATGACGAAGGTGCTCTAAATCACCACAGTGAACCAGACTTCTCGCTCTTGAGAATGCCTATGCATGCAACATTCGGACCATTGATTAAAGGTAGACAATCACTATCCGTGGTTGCGTGATTTGCTTTCTTACTTTCCCCTTTACGTCAAGGGGAACGCCGCTCGGGACATCTCATGCCAGATAGTGATCTACTAGCCTTAAGTTCGTTGAGACTTCCAGCATAAACCCAGGTAACAAATTAACAGCTGAAGCGTTGATCAAGAAAAAAATTGTCAGGGGCTCCGTTCGTTGTTGATGCCAAACGCACTGGTCGAGAAGCTGAGAACTAGTCTGGCAGGTATGCAGCGCACAGGCACAATACGAGGGACTTGCTGTACTAGTGTCCTATGCCTCCAAAGCGAGAAATCTACTTCGCCGTATTTGCGTGATGACGCACGTGATGTCTCCGCGTAGTGGGGAACGTAGGTATCGATATTCCTTCGGCAGGGGATCAAGATCTTCATGCGTCGGCTTCCAATATCCAAAACAGAGAGGCGGTCTGCGCTTGTTCGTTTTGCTCGACTGTGACATCCTAAAGTTGGCTTCACATGGTACGGCATTGACAGAAGAAGCGCAACGGAGGGACCATAAAAACTGTCTGATAGATACTGATAAATTTACGTCCTGATACTACACGATAAAGAAAAACAAAAACAAAAAATACCATTCAATTAGAATTACATAGAAATGTTGTGATTTAGGTAAGTACCCACTACCCTACATCCGTCTTTCATCTGTCCCCGTAAGACCCTTCACTGAGGGTGACAGCCTCCGTTATGGCTAAATTCTTGTATGCTTGATGTTGGATGGCTAGATTATACACGACGTCGATGTCTGAGTCTGTGCCTATTGGGTCTAATCAGAATCCATCAAAAGACTCAAACAAGGGCTTCTTCGTCGGGGATACCACCTCACGCAGAAACCGAGTTCCTTCATTCTCATTCATGTGCCCCACCCAGGCCATGGAGGCTAAGACTTTTTTTTTGTATGCCAAGACCGCCGGAAAGGTGATCCCAGCTTTATCCAGTTCGCAAACTGGCAGCAGGCGGAGTACATTAGCCTCCTTATCTTACGGATGCATTAATTGCCTACGAGCCCACCGATTTATAAAATGATGAAAAACAAAAACTAGGCGCAAAGGAGGTGGATTAGATGTGTTATATAAACCTCGACCAGCTGCCAAACCTCTGGGCAGTAATCAACCACCTAACGGGTTCTAAAAGCACGAAATATACATTAACGAGAGAAGATATACCCTAAATTCAATTGCATATATCAAAGATGACCGGTACTAGGGCTACGGGACAAGCTGAGGGTGCGGACATCGAGCTAATATCGTCTTCAACTTAGCCTCTAGAAGTCAATGTTGACTAAAAAAGTAGAGACAATAAAAAAATATAATACATTTGGTATCTATAATTTCAATATTAATTGGTTGTATAACCATAACACATAAATGACGCTAGCGCGATGTGAATATCGCGCACCTTAGAATTCTGCATCGAGGATTATATCAATTCACAGGCACTTACGCTCATCCAGTTCCAGTTGTGTACTCGCGTAAGGATTCACGTCCCTGCGGAGGCACCCGGAAGCTTGTATGTATTCTCTAACAAACGTATCCGTTTCCTTCCGGTCATTTAGTCGTCGGAAGCATAAGGATCATGAGCACATCAAGTAGGTACATTGAGTGATGATGTGCACTTCTGGGTATTTATACATAGGAATTCTTCAGGATTGGAAAATCGATGCTGTCAATGGGCAGGTATACAAACGCACATGCACCAAATCAATCATCGAAAATGAGGTGACACGCAGATGACAGCAAAAATGCTTGTGATTGTGTCATGTGTATTAGTTGCTGCCATGAAGAAGAGGCTATCTCAGTCGTGCTTCTAGTTCTATAGACGGAACTTACAAATTAACTATTATCATTATGTTACGTTTCAAGGCCCTTATGATGACGAGTGTGAGTCATCTACTTCTAACGTCTTACAAATCTATAACTGTCACGGTGTAATGACGAGTCTAATACGGAGTGATGAGTCTATCTAAGCTTGAGTATCCACCTCCATCCAATACGTAACAAAGTTCAGTAGTGGCGCTGATAGATGAAGAAGTGTTCTGGTTCAGATTCATTCTGTCTTAGCCAGCGCGCCACACTCACAAGCCACACGACAAGGCAAGCCTAAGTCACTTCGGAAAGGCTAGCTGCTTGTAATTGGCAAGGCGAAAAGTCAGCAAAGCACTGCACGGAGACAGTCGGCACTCATATTGCCCCAGACCGTCGCAGGAGTGCTCTGCTTATCGATTTCTCCCTCTTGTCTCTTTTCAAGTTCTGCTGTCTCTTGCTTTTGTTTTCTGTGTTAGTTTCCCCGCACCCCTCTAAAACTAGACTCAGAATGAACCCACGACACCAGGCAGCGAGCGCGTGGCTGAAGATTCTGGAAGGGCGCGGGGATTCTCATCACGCCCAGAACACTCCGCCGAAACTTGCAAGATAGAGGGACTTCATCGAAGAGCAGCAAGACGCTGCCACAGTTTTGAGGATTTTGATTTTCATCCTTCCCAGTGGGACGCAATGCATTTCGTCAGAATTTTCGCGATGTTCCGCTGGCTCTTTCCCATCCACGGCCCGCTTGCTTCTGGTCAAATTTTTGCGGCTCTCGTCGTTTGCTAACCTCTTAAAGAGATAGAACACCGTCGAGGAAGAGGCCACAGAGTGGCCCCAAGACTTGGACGCATCCCGCTACTGTGTTCCGCATTGCCTAACGTAGTGGCGCCTTTGAAGAAATAAACGCAAGCGAAGTCTCCCGATTTTTCTCAAGAAGTGCCATCTCCATAAGCAACGCGGTAAACAATACCAGCAGAGGAGCGGCCTACTCCAATGGGGCAACCAACTCTGCCTCACTTTTCTTGGAGTGATGGGTTCCAAGAATTGGGCGCATCCCTCTACTGTGTTCCACATTGCCTAACCAAGTCGCGTCACTTTTGAAGAAACCAATAAAAGCGAAGGAAAGCGCCGAATATTTCTCAAAAAATGGCTTTATACCCAAATGGCGGCGCCATCGATCCCGACCCCAAGAAAAAACAGCCACAAGCCTGCCAAGCTTCCCCTCTTGTGGTAGAGGCTTGCCCTCGTTCGTTTGTGTTTTGTGTGGGCTCTTTGCTAAATTCAAGCTTCGACGGTGCGGCGTGCCCGCACTGTCTCTACTCTTGTGCTTCCTCAGGTGCGTGGTGATATTAGATTCCAAGCCTCGCCTATTTCTGGCCAAATTTTCGAGGCTCTCGTCATTTGCTAACCTCTTCAAGAGAGAGAACACCGTCGAAAAAGAGGCCGCCCAGTCTGCTTCACTTTTCTTGGAATGGTTCCAAGATGAATTAGGCTCGACAAATCTATGGCGCGGGCGCGGCGTTCTGTTATCATTCTCACAGCCCGAGTCCAAGCAAAATGAGATTTAAAAAGTGAAGGGCGACCGGGTGCGCCTTCACGAGACCCCCAGCGAAAAGGGCTTCGAGACCAATGAGAACAGTTCTCCCAGTCCCAAGACCCGAAAAGGCGCAACCCCTAAGAGAGCGCGCAACGAGGCGCGGGCGACGCTGCCTGCACTAGGACTAGAGGCCGAGTCTGCATACTCTGGCGCCCCAAGTCACCGCGGCCCTTGCCGGGCTTCAGGTCTGGCGCCCTGGCGTCCCACTCTGATAGGGACACCGTTCACACCTTTGAAAGCCTGCCCTGGCCCGCCTTGCCCCTCTCCCTATGTAATGCAAGAGCCCACATATTGCCTTTGCCTTTGCCCACGCGCTGCGCCCCCTTGAGAAAGAACCTCTTTGGTGACGATGATAGAGCTGCGCCCTACAGTATCCCTCTACTGTGTATGTGTTCGCTATTGCCTAACGAAGTGGCAGTTTTGAAGGAAAAAAAGCGAGCAAAGCCTTCCACTTTTTCTCAGAAGAAAAACTGCACCGCGTAACTTCTAAGGCAATGCTGTACCCAAGCAATGCGTAAAGGGGCCTACCCAAATTATGGGGGAGCCATCCCAAGAACAAGAAACAAACACAGGCGCGCCGAGCTTCCCCCTATTAATTTATTATGGCGCAAGGTTGCTCTTGTTCGTGCGTTTGCCCTTTGTGTGGGCTCTTTCTTTGTGTTAAGTTTCGAGGCTGCGGCGTGCTCGCGGTGTCTTTTGTGCTTCCCCAGGTGGTCGATTAGAAATAGAACGGCGAGAAGCCAGCCAAGCACTGCACGAAGGTCGAAGACAGCCAAAGAAAAACACGAACTGCCCCCATGCCGTGACAGGAGTGCTCTGCTTCGCGGAGTCAGTCTCCCCCTTGTCTCTTTTCAAGTTCCTTCGCCTATTGCTTTCGTTTTCTGTGTTTCCCCGCGCCACTCTAGAACCCACCACACCAGGCAGCGAGCGCGTGCCTGAAGATTCTGGAAGGGCGCGAGGAGTCTCGTCACGCCTGGAGCACTTCGCCGAAACTTGACCTGACTGGTCTGGCGCCAACTCTGGCTGAGTCTGTCAGGCTGTTCGAATCCTAACGCCATCAGCATAAGTACACAAGAAGGCGCATTCTGATGGCGTTAAGATTCGAACAGCCCGACCGACTCAGTCAGAGTAGGTCTCAGATATATTAGCCGGCTTAATTCTGAGACTAGTCACAGCAGGACGGAGGCTAGTCACAGCGCGAAAGCTCCAGGCTAGTCAGAGTGGCTCTCATATTAGTCAGAGTAAGCCTCAGATTGGTCCGAGTAGTTTCCAGATTAGTCAGGGTAAGTTTCAGACTAGTCAGAGTGCTAGGTCTGAGATTAGTCACAGCAAGTTTCAGATTTGTCGCGATAAGTTTCCGACTCATTTGCTGGAGTAAGTTCCAGATTATTCACAGTATGTCTCAGGCTAGTCGCAGAAAGTTTCAGTGTAGTCAGAGGATCAGCCACAGCTCCCACAGCTCGCCGATTTAAGGGGAAATCAAACAAAGAGCAAACGCCGTGACGGTTTCATAGATGATTGGTCTCCGTAATTTTTCGTGTTGTGCCTAGTAATCGTCAGCCTTTATAAAATTTGAAGTAAAAGCAAATGGTTGTATAAACCATGAGTTACGATGAAAACGGATGCCGAGCGCTAGTAATATTACCAGAATGAATAACCAAAACTAAACGGTTGGTATTGTTTATAAAAAACTCCACCAAGAATAAAACAAATGACGACCATCGATCATAGGTCTGTATCCGGTTTCTTGTCATTTTTTCCGCTAAAGAGAACTCGTCATGAGCAACAAGCCACATAAAAACACATGATAACAATCCATGCATAGCAGCAAAAATGGTGTAGAGGAACACAAAATAAGCGGCCATTTTTGCGCTGGATCGGGTACCGACGTCGTCAATGGGATTGCTGTAGGCACCCACGTCGGACAATGATTTTTCACCATCGGACGAGAAAAGCATGAATTTTAGATGATCAGCACAAGTAGCAGTGCCGCTGAAGACGAATAGAAGGAGCGATGCAGATGGTTCAGAATCCTAGCAGTGATTTGTTGTCAGAATCCCATATGGACGAAGGAAGCACTTCCGCCACGTGATCAAGAATGAATCTCGTTTCTTACATTTTTCAACTTGTGACGAATGTCTTCGAGCGACTATCATTCATACATTCATTCAAATAAATGTTCAACATCTTCAACGGTCAAAGAGCCAGAATGTGCCTCAGCAGTTATGCATTCGCATTCGAATTGTTTTTGTTAAGGCAGGCAATATAAATGAAGCAGACCCAGACGGTCGTGCGAATGCGACACTCAAGATGGAAATAGAATCAGCATGTTCGGGATCCGAAAAGCATATCTTTCCATATCGTGTGGCTCAAGTGACAGTGCCCGAGAAGACTTTTTTCTCGAGGCGAGTCATCCAATCAATGCTTCACCATTGTCATAACAAGGTCGCAACCTTCCCGCGTGCGCGGGGGGGGCAGCTCTTTTAGTATAACATCGGAACGCGTCATCGGCTACGAGCATCGTGCCTCTTAATGTCCTCGAAGCAGGAGACGTATGATCAGTCATTTCATCCCGGTCCAGGTATGACTAACCGTGTTATCCTGCCATTTTGCCATTGTCGATGACGAAGCAGAAAATTGTTAAGCAGGCGGAGAATGTGCACGCGAAGTCGCCGCCCCGTATATGCGTGCCGAGCCAGGGCGTCCGCGTCTGCCATAGTTAATTTGACGAACAATGCGTCCTAGTCATGCAACTGGTATAGGATGAGTCCTACGACAACTACAGCAGGCTTAGTAGATGACTCGTATGTTGTCAGGGGAACTATTGATCCGCAGCGAACAAGAGTAACTTCCTCCTCACTCTTCACCAGCGTCCTCCTCTGCTTCATCATCTGGCTCCGCAAACGCCAGCGCCACGGCACGCTGGTACTCGTGCTCCAGCAGGCACCGCTCAATGTCTACCTCGTCGTCATCCTCCATATTTTCGTCCCTGATAGTATCGTTATCGGCCTCTCGAATTTAGAAGTGATTTTTCACGCAATTACTATTCTTCAGGTTGTCTACTTGAAAAGTTGCATCATAGATCAGGAGAGATATTCTTTTGTTACTTTTCTCGAATATCCTCGTTGTATCAATGACCTTGAAGCCCCTGCTGGTGCTGCTGCTGGAATTATTAAGGACTCACATCAAAAATTCCTAGCTTTCACTTCTTAATTTATTACAATCCAAGAGCAAGAGGAGGAACCAAACCCCTAATGTCAACTATCATGTCGCAACATGCGCATCTACCATTTTGACCACTCCTGATTGATTTGATTGATTGATGTACTTATTCTCGGGGTAAAGGGGCTCGGACTCCTATTACTACAGATGAAGAAAACTACTAACCCTATAAATATTCATCATTCTACAGGTTCATGAAGATGTTTGTCGGACTGACACTTCTATCAAATCTAAACATGCATTTCTGTAGTGCGTAATGATCGTGCAATGCTAGCATTTTCGCGTCTCGGTCGATCCATATTGCTCCGGTCGCGAGACGCACGTGCTTAGTAACGAGACTGCTTGCTGTCTCCTGAGATACCTGACGCATCACGTTCGACGCTCCAGGCAAACGGTGAACAAGCGACGTCTCATCTTCAGGATCGAGTCCAAAGACCGGGTGAATGAAAGGCTCTCCCTCAGGCCGCAGAACAAATGCTACATCATCGGGTGCTCCATTATCTAGTAATCCTGTGGAATCTCTCCTATTCGTTCTTGTTCTTGTTTGCCTTGAAGATACTTCTCCTCCCGCTAAAGGATTTGATTCTTCCTCCGCGTCGCGTACTTGTTTTTCATTCTCTTCTTGTTCGTCACCCTCTTCGCGATCCAAAACAAATGTTCGGCTCGTCCGAGCATGCTTCTGCGCTACAGCCCACGGAACAGTATGGATTGGCTTTTTTCCTCTCTTGATCGAAAAATCTTGTGGCTGTATATCGCCCTTGTACCGCATCAGCAGACCGTCCATAGCATTCACATATTCGAAGTGGCTTCCCGCTACGCGCTGGGCGCAATAGAATCGGTCAGCAGTAGTAGCGCACTGAGAGTCACAACGTTCGCCACATGTGCCGCTCTTCTGCCACTTCATCATCATTCCTGTGATCGGCGTTTGCGATGATTCACTTCTAGTTCTAGTTGGTTCTAGTAAGTTCTACTTCTAGGAACTACGAAATGAGAACCAACCACATATACAAACAATGCGCAATCACGATCACTTCGTACTAACTAGAGCTTAAGAAAATTGAAAGAATAAGACATAGTTTCAGTGTTCCTCACAGTAGTTTCCTTTACCAAGATGCTTCATCCGCTGGCCCTCGACCATACCAAGCGAAGCCGTGAGGAGTGCGCGCCCCGCATTGCGCCAGTCGGGTGCGTGCTTCGGGCGCAACTCGTAAGGTAAGGATTTTCACATTAGAGACAAGCAACTGCAACTACGCTATGCTGATTCATTATATCGACAAAAACCACGGGTAATTACTCCCTATTTGTAGCTACTATTGCCTACTTCACGACGAGACGAGCCAGTGAGAACAACTTCTCGACGCAAGCTAAAGCCTTAATGTGGGATACACTGGATCATCCATGTCTTTGCCGTGATCCCAATTTCCGCGATATCCTATCGGACGAGGTTGATACTTTTTTTGACGGCGCACTGAGGGCACCTTCACGTACTGCTGTACTTGCATCCGCGAACCAGGGACAACGGCGGCCATCTTCGTTGTCCTTGTCTGTTTGTTTTGATAATCAATCTACTTTCTTAAATCAAACAAGGCTTTCCTATCACTGGAGCTACAACTTGAGACTCACTTCGCGATTTTGTAATCAATTACGTGACGCGGAACAAAAATTTATTGAAAATTGCTTCTGTCATCAACATCAGAGGAGAAACAATATGTAGTGCTAGCGCTAGGACGATCTCTCATTATGTAATATGTCTCAACAGTAATAGGCGGAGAGAATCGAACAACACAAAGAGCTAGAAGTTATCGTTCCAAGATGGAAAATGAACACTCCGCGGTTGCGGCATTTGCTGCACCATTGCAAGCATTGGCTCACTCACGTGCTCCACCCAGACCAACATTAATCCAATGGGCAGTATTCAACCACCTAACGGGTTTTAAAATTTCAGTTCAAGCGCAGCGGCTTCGGATACGCAGCGGAGCTTCTGGGCATGAGCCCGCCGCGACGTCGGATGGGGCTCGTCATCACACAAATTCGATATATGTTCCAGGGCTCAGGCCTGAAGGCCCCCCCGCTCTAACTTTTTGAGGCGGGGCCTCCCAGCCGCGGCCCCTTTTTTCGAGGAGCTGCCGGGCGGGAAAGCCTCAAAGCGCCCATCTCTGACCCCTTCCCGCTTCTTGCCTGGACCCTACAGCGCTACCATGGCGGAGGCCGCTGAAGCACTGAACGAAGGGCGGACTTGGAAGGCTGCCCCTTTGGCGTGTTGCCTGTACCCTACAGACCTGGCGAAGCCGGGAAGGCTGGACCCCTTTGGCGTGTTGCGTGTACCCTACAGACCTAGCGAAGGCTGCAAGGCTGGGCCCCACCCCCTTGGCGTGTCTGTTGTATGTACCCGCCAGACCTTGGGGCGCTTCCCTTCTTTCGGGTCTCTTTGCCGTTCTCTTCCCCCACTGCGATACGCCAGAGGCCACCACGCCACGGATGGGCGCTTCTCGTCGCTCGTTCTGCTCTCGTCCCTCGTTCTTCTCTCCTCGCTCGTTCTGCTCTCGTCGCTCGTTCTTCTCTCCTCGGTCTTCCACCACTGTGCTGCACCACAGACCATACCACAGGGGGGGGCCTCCCTCCCTGGTACATATATCAGAGCAATCTATAAGGTTTCACAGCTCGCATGGCATGGAGTGCATGGATCGCATGGAGTAGCATGGAGCTAAAGGGGGAGCTTCTTGCGCCCCTTAAAGCTCTGCGCTCCATGCTACTCCATGCGCCATGCGTGCTGTAAACTACTCTGATATATATAACTCTAACTTTTCTACTGTTCGCATGTCGGGGAGATGCCTGCGCCTACTGACGATTTTCTTGTCCAGCCTGTTCTTGAAGGCGGGGAGGAAATCGGCACTAGAAGTTGGCCAGGCTTGCTGTGCTGTGTCTAATAGACTCACGCTATACAGACGTAGTCGGAGTGTTTTTGGATCGGTAATCTGATTTCGACAACAACGAGGCCATTTATTATCATTCCATTCACTTGCGACAGCATCGACACTATCTCGCTCTGATCTCGTAATCGCAATATTTCCGCGAGTAGTTTCTCTCCCGTCCAAGTGTCTTTTCTTTCTTGAGCACGAAGATCTTTTAACGTGACTCGATCGTAGAATTCCTCTTCTCGTGCGATCTCTTGACAGTTCGTCGCATCTCATTTCTGACCCCTTTCGAGGACCTGCTACGTCTAGGAGACTAAAGTCAACAGGCAACGGGGAGGCAACTTTGCCAACCCTCAGGGAGAAGGTGAGCGTCGACAACGCGAGCAGACCGCGCCGCCACGCGAGCAACATCATGCCGTATAATTACGCGCGCCCGTACAAAGTGCGCGCGCCACTGTGCACCTGCCTCCTCATGGTCCCGGTTCTGCTTCGATACGCGCTGCCTCGTAATATTCGTACCAAATGCCGCTGCTGCAGCACCTCTTGGCTTCTGCCTGCTACGCAGGTCCTCTACGAGGCTTGTGCCGTCGCTCCCTCTCATCTGCCAAGAAAGCGTCTCTGTATTGCCGCGCGCCGCCTCGCTTCAGCACCTCGCAACACTCACCTCTCGCCAGTCGAAGGGCACATTCCATATTGCCTCCACCGATATGCGGAGCGCGCAGCAGGCAATCCTTGTTGCTCTATCTCCTGCCGCAGACACACACACACACACACACATGTCATTTTGCCTTTCGCTGAGAGGATCGCCAATTTCTCACCGACATAGGTCGTCTGGTACGTGTCACTTGCATTGGTCAGACCATCTTGGTGATTAGTAGCACCGTAGAACTCGGCCGCAGCCCGCTGGCTATAGATCTACGAAACTTAATCGATGTGATGTTTTTACGCGCTTCTCTTCGAGGTAGGGGGTGGAAAACGTGAGTCCTCCTGCTCTTCTACTTGCGAAGGAGGAAATCGAAATACGTCGATGATTTTTTTTTCAGAGTAGATGAGCGATGGATATGGGAAACGGCCCGCCCTGCCTGCAGTCCGTTCTCAGCATCAATCAGGCGTTGCGCGGCCATGGTAGAGAATCATGTAAGATAGAAGATTCTTGGAATATACGAAGTAGTTAAGAGAGAGAAAACCTGGGACCCTCATCCTTCCGTGTCCCTCATTTCCACCTCAATCCCTGTTCATATGCTAGTATTAGTAGACCGTTATAAATATATATCGCAAGTAATAGTATCTCATATAAGCTAGAACGAAGTCCGACGCTCATCATTTTTCTATCTTGCGCCACGGTATACTGCATTTTTTTCCTTCATATCTTGGCCAAAAGATGGGCCTAGACGGAGAGACTTTTGAGGCTTTGACAAAGGTAAAAGACAAAGATAAGAGACAAAGGAAAACGACGATGAGCGAGTCGTTACGAAGTCAGATTATCTAAGGCCCGTCTCTGTCTTTGTCTCTGCGCCATCCAGCCCGTCAGCGTTTTTTTTGATCATAAACGCAACAAAGATGAGAAACTTTCGCAGATCAGCACAAGACTGCCGCAGCAGCAGAGTTTTCATTTCGCTTCACGACTGAGAAAGGCCGGCGCTTATTCTTTTATTGAAGACGGCTCGCTTACTTTGATAGGTACGGCTTTTCGAGATGGCGCGCACTTTTTAAATTAATTGCCAGAAGATGGCGCAAATTTCCTAGACGTATGACGCCACTGGCCAGCCTCAGACCCCACGAATCTTATGAATGTCTTGAGGCAATACACTGCCGAAACGTGTGTCACAGCGTTCGCCATTCTTTCCATTAAACCGGGCAAGAGACTGCCCTCAGGCTCAGACTTTGAAAAAGTTAGACTTTAACTTCTTAAAAGTCTGAGCGTGTGCATGAGTGTAGTTTTTCGCTCGATATCTATTTGCGTTGTGTTCTGAGTCTTCAACTGTGGCCCACCGAGATCATAACCAGAAGAGCGCCTGGCTTCCATAAAATGCCGCAGCACTGACGTCGCTTCTTTTTTTTGGATGCATGTCATTCATTAGCCAAGTTTCATCCACTGACTGACGCCACCGCTTGACTTAATAACTTGCCAAAGAGCTTGGCTCCCTCCTTCTCTTATCAGTGTCCTCCAACTTCGGCAAAATGGAGCGCAGCGCACCGTCTCCCGCTGCTCTTTTTTCACAGTCTTCGCCTTGCCTCTAAGTCTGCGCACTCCTTGGCCCAGTAACTTAGTGAGCCTCTAGCCAGCTTTGCTCTCATGCTCACAGTCAACAACCAGAAGCGTGGCGCCTATGAGTTATAGAATAATCAACAAAGGCGCCACCCTCGCTCACGCATTTAGGCGCTTCGCTTGCTGTCTTTGCAGAGCATTGCCAAGCCGGGAAGAGTGTGAATATGGAACCACGGCGCAACTGGCTAAGGCGTCGACTTCATGCGGCTACTTCTCGCCATTATGTGAGAGAGCGACTCTGTTAATAACTTCCCCCCATACGCTCAGGCTCATTAGCTCCTCGCCAGTCAATGAACCCAGCAGAGCGAGGCACTAAGCGCAACGGCTAGAAATGCAAACTGCTCGCGAAATCGACACAATTGCACCGACAAGGCTGGCCTCTGGTTTTCTTCACAATCTGCGAGATATGGCAGGAGAAATACCCGCTGGCGCCAGAAGTTCTTACTGTGCACGCCGAACAGTTTCCGCAAGCGTTCAGCGTCCGGAATGAACGGGAGCAGGCTCGCAAGTCTCTCACTTTTTCGATCGGCGGCCTTTCCACTAAAGCAGGGCAACAAGCATGAAAGTCGGAGAAGTTTGGAGATGCAGCTACAGCAGCAGCCAAGCGCTTCAGCAGAGCGCGGCCGTGGAATGCCGTTACACAGCTGGCGCGCTCGTTCGGGGCTTACCAAGCTTGTGCATTTGTGACTGACTTGGGGGCGCAGGAGTTTGCAACTGCTGCGACGCCTACTCCAACAGCTGACGAAGGAAAGGCATTCGCCTCGCGGTGTTTGAAATGGGCACAGCAGCGCACTGCCACAACATGAAGAAAATACTCCGCGCCGCTTCCTCAGAAACATCTAAAGCGCCTGGCGAACAATGTCAAGCACGACAGAACTAGCAAAATCATAGAAAAAACCCCGCGCCGCTGCAAAAAGTTAAAAGCCCGAGCACCAAAAACTTGCACAAAGAAAAACTCGGCGCATGACAGTGCGCGTGAAGCATGTCGGGGCTTTCTCATAAGATTGCGGCCTTTCTATGGAGCAATCGAAACCAAGCAGATTGCGCAAAGGATGTGCCCTCGTAGGACAAGACGCCGCGGGTGCTTCGTGGAGGCGGTACCCGTCGCGCCAGTTTTCAAAGGCGGGCGCCTCGAGCGCTCTGCGACGTCATCCAAGACCGTCGGCTGGGTTTTAACACCTTACCAGGCTGCGCTGCTGATGGGTATTGGGCTGGAGAGCGAGAAGCCGAAAACGCAGCGAGTAAGATACTAAAAACCTCGAAGAGTCAGGGCGAGCCTTAGAAAGAACCGGCGAGGTTCTTCAGTACTATCTAACTTCAGGCCTAGCAACCTCTCCCGGGCAAGTTTCAACCATTTTGCGCGCAAAGCTCTGCAATATCTTCGGCTTTGCCGGTCTAAGAACTACTCTGCTGCTTCTGGTCCACATTCTGAAGAAGGCACAGGCCCAAACTCGGACGGTGGCGCTGAGTCAGGTGATTGCGGTTCTTTTTGTGATGTTTGCAATATCTTCAGACCGCACCAGTTTCGTCGATAATGGCGACCACCGTAAAGCATAGCAAAACGGCGAGCGTGACTGCTTGCCATGCGCTCGATTTCCTTAATGTTCAGCGGTCCAGCTTGCACCGTAGTGAGTTGGCCCATGTCTGTCAAGCGATGCGATGCGCTCGCTTTTGCTATGAAGTAACTTGCTTCGCGCGTCGTGTCATATGTTTTCGCTAAACAGCTGCGGCGTGGGTCAGACAATAACCGCAAAAGCGGCGCGCACATGCTAAAAAAGAAGTGGGGGCGGCTCTCTATCGCTTCAGTTTCGTAATCATCTTCGGGCGTCTTCTGTAACAGCTAGAAACGACCCCGAAAGCGTTAAGCAGCTAGAAAAAAACGCGCACCACTGTGGCTTTTCTTATCGGCGCTCCGTTGTCGTTTTGTCACATGGTGCGGCGCAGGCGTCTGCCAATCTCTATCGCCTTCCGCTTGGCTGCAGTGAGATGCAAAATAAGGGCTCAGCGTGTAAAAATGGCGCGCATTTTTCTCGAACTATCGAGCTCACCTATCGGCAGCGTCGCACTTTTTCCACAGTTCTTTCCTCAGTGCTCTGCTAAGCTATTTAGCATAGTCGGTTTTTCCGTTCTGCCTCTTTCCTCTACTCTCTAGCCTACCCGCTTGGTCTAATAGTTCTCCACTCTCATCATCTTTTTCGACTCCTTCATCTTATACGAGACAAACCGATCGCACTTAATAAACTTAACAGCAGCGCAGGGATGTCGTCATCCCTGCGCTAGCCTGTGATATCAATATCTAATATCTCGAATCTCCATGGCTGTCGTTGTATTGCCAGTCCTGGCCATCGCAGCCTCGGACCACACTTCGACCTCATTAATTATGACAGGGTGGGTATTCGTCGTTTACATGTGGAGCACAGAGATGAAGTAAAGCATACTAGAAGTACGTCCAATTCGTGCTATCGTCTCCCGCTCAATGCATCAACGGCTCCACCTCCTAGACGGCAATAATTGATCATATTAATCATGTGGAACATGATTGTCCCCCGGCGACGGACCTCTCCATGAAATAGGAGGTTACAATCAACCAGAATCAAATATCAATGTTCTCTTCAACGACTGAAAGAACCAAATAATTTTCATACCCCGAATTCCATACAAATACCAAATTTTGTTGAATGACAAATATGGACCACAACTAGACGAATCATCCTGCCCTTTGGACCCTGATGTGATTCGGAGCAGCATAATGAATGTATAGAATCGTAAAACTCTATAACACGCTTGATAAGGTCACTAATCTATCACATATAGAATCCATGTCACACCGGACTATCAGGTATCAGTATGACGAGTACATGTAAAAAAACGAACATACTATTACTACTATTTGTATGAAAATCGTGAATCTTCCGTATCTTACTTCTTATAAATATGTCATTTTCTCCGTGCAGCGTGGCCTGCCTAGCTGAAGGCATGCTTCGGTTTGCTGGGAGAACTCTCATTAAGAATGTGATCCAGGTTCGCAATGGATCACAAAGAACAATTATATAGATTTAGATATGTTTTTCTTTTTTCACA